AGGTTTCTATACAGGCCTGCACCTTCCAGATCAAACATCTCAGTCCTATATGATGAAAACTTTCTGATCTAGTCTATGTTCAACAACAAAGAAAAAACTTTAAAAGTTAGTTTTAGCTCCTCCTGAATACAGACCTGACAAAGCCGGATTTCCTACTTTCGACAAAGTAAGTCTGAATCAAAATCTTTCTCTTACGCCTAAGCAATGTAGGTTTGAGAGTGAGTGCGACACAAGAGAAGACCTGCATAAGGGACAGCAGGTACGAGCTGATTTAGAACCAGTTTTATAGACAAGTAGTAAGACTTTAGAACCTGGGCTGATACTGGAGGCCCTAGAAGAGTGATGAACAGCAGATTGACATGTGCAGTTTTGGGTTGGTTGAAAACCAGATGAGCTGCAGAAGTTTGTGCACACAGAGCAGTAGCCAATGTGTGACATTACGAGACCCTGCAGGAGCTGTGTTGGGTTCTCTGTCAGGTAGGGTCCGATCCCCCTGATGTTAGAGGACTCATTAGCAGGTCTGAGGAGATCCGCCGGCTCTCAGAGTCCACTGTACAGATCCTTTAAGTCAAAGTGACCAAACAACAAAACAGAAGTGTGAACAGATCAGAAGTGGACATCGTACCTGGAGGTCATTTGGTCAACATTTACACAAACATGGTGCTGCATTTCCCATGAGTCTTAGTGTTTGTGGGCCTTGTGAGTATAATGTAGTGTCATGAACTGTGTTTAAATGAAGTCCAAGTTTTTTCAGGCCTGTTTCCTCATCTTCTCCTGCAGGATGTTCCTGTTCTCGTCCCTCTCCTGCAGGACGTTGTAGATGTTAAACTGAGCGAGGTCCTGATATAAAGCCGCTCCGAGTCGCTGTAATGAATCTGAACCGTCTGCACACGCTCTCTCCTCTCTCATCTCCACATGAATCACTAACACGGTGTCACAATCATTTCATCACACCCTGCCCTGATGAAACACCAACTACAAAGGCAAGTTTTAAAATTATAATGCCGTGCATTAGCACTCGCTGAATATTTCCTTTCTTTTTAACCAGATGCATTTTAATAAGACACGCTGCATTAATTTACATTTTCTGAAAACTCTTCACTCTGGGAGGAAGAGGAGAGAGAGTGCAGGACACGGACGTCGAGGCGGAGGTTTAAATACAGATGTTTGGGAAACAACTTCAACCCCTGACGACATTTAACATCATTTTAATTCTCATTTCACATTTTCATTCATCGGTTTATGTTTTAACTCCTCCTGAACTCAGTTTTTAGATAAATAAAGACCTAAAATCAGGGTTTGAGGACCAGTCTGAGTGAACTTGAGAAGAGTTTTCATATTGGCTCAAGTCTTTGGAGTTTATTCTCCGCTCTGAATATTCATTAGGATGTTGTTTTGCATTCAACCACTGCTCAAACAGGAATAACCAATCCTGTCACACAAACAGATTTCTGCAGAGACATCCTGAGTTTTTGGACAAGTGACATGATGTTGGGTGTCAGACAGAAGTGCTCGGTTTGTTCACCCTCAGCAGACATCAGCTTTATGCAGGGGAAACATCAGGGATTGATTCTGCAGGACTGTGCAGCTTTAGGGTAAACGCGCTCCAACAAAACTTTCTGTGCGTCATTGTTGTTGTACTTACACGATCTATTATGCATTCGTTTGAGGGAGGGAAATTGCATTTTTGTGCAAATGAGTTTCGATACAAAAAAAAATCTCCAGGGCTGACAGTAAGAGAGCAACTTTTACCATCTGTTTGGAGATGGTGTTGACTTTGGGGCGGTGTTTACACCTGAGTTTTCCTGTGATCATGACAGCAAACGGGTTCTGTACATAAAGTCTGTTTTTATATCACTTCCTGAGACAATAAACCGGGGTGAAATCAGTCTAATATGAGCACACTGATACTTATGTCCACTTTTGTCGGTTTGGTCTGGGCACAGAGCTTTGTCATTGTCGTCGTTTTCGTCGTCGGGTCCGGGGTCACGGGGGCAGCAGCTTCAGGAGGGAAGCCCAGACGGCCCTCACCCCAGCCACTTCCACCAGCTCCTCCGGGGGGATTCCCAGGCCAGGTGGGAGATATAATCGCTCCACCTGGTCCTGGGCCGGCCACAAGGTCTCTTCCCGGTGGGACATGTCTGGAACACCTCTAACGGGAGGCGTCCAGAAGGCGTCCTAACCAGATGCCCGAGCCACCTCAGCTGACTCCTCTCGACGTGGAGGAGCAGCGGTTCTACTCTGAGTGCCTCCCGAGTGTCTGAGCTCCTTACCCTATCTCTAAGGCTGAGCCCGGACACCCTGAGGAGGATACCCATTTCGGCCGCTTGTATCCGCGATCTTGTTCTTTCCGTCATTACCCAAAGTTCATGGCCATAGGTGAGGATCGACACGTAGATCAACCAGTAAGTTAATCACTGTAAATCTGTGAAACTGAGAGTGCACAGCAGAGAGGTGATGCAGACAGCTCAACTGTATAATCAGGCACAAAATAAGAGCAAACTGCACTTTGATAACATTAGTACAACATGCATTGTGATGAAGACGATGGTTTCTCTCTTTTGCATGGATAGTGCAAATTTTGGCGCCGTCTCCCTTACACTCATACTACTGTAATTCATGTTTTCTGACAGAAAACGCTCCTAATTTTGTCACATACATCACCTCTGATGATCTTCACTCTTGAGAAAGTCGACAATGTAGCTTCTGTGGCGAGTTCTGACTCACATCACCTGACACCTACCAGGCGGCAGCAGCCACAGACAGTCATAACAACACCATACCGGTCATTTAGAAACTCAAAAAACTCCCTACACGAGCTTTAAGAGCGTTTGGATTAAGTTTAAGAGAGTTTCGAGACGCTCCAGCTTTAACTAAACACTTTAAAAAATTAGCAGCTCTGTGAGGATTATGTGCACTCTTCATTCTGCACGCCATAAACCGTTCACTCCTGCACATGACTGGCTCATGACATCAACCCTCTCTCTCCTTTTCCACGCTGATGTCATGTAAAAAGTGCGTGGCTGTTGTGTAAACGTTGTGTAAAGTCTGGTTAATGAGCCTCTGGTGGGATGAGCTCACGGAGGCAGGAAACATCCCCCCCGGTCTGGATGCTGCTGTGAGGAGGAGGGGAATTCAGAGGTTTGACCCAGTGACTGCACAGAGTCCGGTTCACACTCAGCTGCCGGGGCTCGGTGTTGTGTTTACTACACAGTCACGTTGCCATGACAACGGCTGCTGTGTTGTGTCTGGGTAACGATTTCCGCTGGCTCTGGGTCTGCTTTTATGTCAGCTCTGAATCTGATTAAAAATGTTGGACATCGCCGTTACACGCTGAGTTTACACCACGAGTTAGCTGCAGAACCGAACGGATATAATGCAGGAAACTCTGCAGCTGCTGACTCTTCACTGTGAAGACTGAGAGGGTAAAAAGACTTTAAAAATGTCCAAAAAACAGAGATGGGCGTCTGTCCTGCAGTAATAGTTTCCACAGAAAGTCTGATGAATGTCAGAAAAATTCTGAGGAGAGGATGAGGATGTTTGCACAATTGATGAGTGACCTGTTGTTGTTGTGCACATTATGAATCATCTTCAAACTCCTTTATGCCCATCAGAATGTTATTTCTCAATACAGGCAATACTGGGCCACTCAATGCCCTTTTCAACTGCATTTTAGACATTAAATCATGAAAGGCGGAGAACTTTTTACAGCTCAACCAGGACAAAACTCAGGTTTTAGTCATTGGGACAAGGGACAAGAGAGAGAAACTGGTCAGCAAACTCAAAGTACTGTCCTATAATCCAAGTCAACAAGCTAAAAATTTAGGTGTTTTATTTGATTCAGATCTGAGTTTTGAACCACACATACAAGATATCACCAAGAAGACATTTTATCACTTAAAAAACATAACCCGAGTGCGACCGTTTCTCTCTCAAGCCAATGCAGAGACATGAATTCATGCTTTCATCACTTGAAGAATAGATTATTGTAATTCACTCCTTTCTGGTCTCCCCAAAAAGAACATTTCACACCTGAAATTACTCCAAAATTCAGCTGCAGAAAAAAAGAGATCACATTACACCGATTTTAAGGTCTCTGCATTGGTGATCCGTCTCTTTTAGAATCGATTTTAAGGTTGTTTTATTGTTTTTTAAAGCTCTTAATCTTATTTATCTGATCTTCTTTTACCTTATGATCCAGGTAGAGCCCTCAGGTCTTCAGGAAGTTCTCTGTTAACACCTAAAGTTAAAACCAAGACGTACGGTGAGGCATCTTTTTTATTAATACGGCCCTTGTCCATGGAACAGCTCACCTGAAGACCTAAGGACTGAAACTTATCTCTATGATTTTAAAAACCAAACTGAAAACAAACCTTTTTAGTCTTTTAACTAAATTTTATATCATTAACTTTAAGTGTTTTAGCATTTATCTCTTTTTAGTTTTAATGACAAGATCGTCTTTAATTGAGCTATTTTGGTGATCTTATTTTAATATCTTTTACTGTTGTTTTTATTTTTACATTTCATTTTATGTTACTTTGTTTTTAGATTTCAAACCTCCAGTGTTTCCTTCTCTTGAATTTTAAAATGACTTTTCCTCAGTGCGCACATTCCTGTTTCTATGAAATCGAAAACCCCTTAATGCATTTTAATAAATGTTCATAAAAATGTAATGCAGAAAAGATGATTTGTTGGGGGTAAAAACAGGTGAATTACATAACTGTGATTATATTGTCCCTTTCCTGACCCAGACTTCACACAGGAGGTGATTTCCCTGTTTTACAGACACGTAACTTTAAATTGTTTTATTATTTTACTACAGGCTTTAAATGCAGGACTTTTTAAACACTTCTACTACTAAACTATCGAACATAATCGACTGATAAACTCCTCGAAACCTCTAAACTCCCTCTCCATGTACACTGACTCCCTCTACAGTCACTATTGCGTACCGCACGGACGCCATGTTGTCAGCGCTTCATTTTACGACAGTACCAGCCTCTTTACGTCAGACGGTTTCCCACACGACACCAAAACATCATGGCGGATGCTACGCAGAGTGCCGCCGGTTCGGAGGAGGTTCTGATGGAAAACCCCGAGAGTTCGGCGGCGGGGGGAGGCAGCGGGACACCGGGAGCTGGAGCCCGGGATAAACCGGTGTGTCTGATCGTGCTGGGGATGGCGGGCTCCGGGAAAACCACCTTTGTTCAGGTGAGTAAGCGCGTGAAGCTAACGGTGGTTAGCCGCGTGAGTTAGCTTCTTTACAGAGACCGAAAACAGTTAATGTGTCTGTTTTTAAACCTTAGTCTCCTTTATATCAATATTAAATATCATTAACTTATGGTTATGATCTGTTCTGTTGTTAATCAATACTCGATGATTTAATGACAGTCTAAAGATTCTGTGGATGTTTCTGGAAGAGATGTGTGAATCTGTGAAAATCTCATTTTTTCTTGACAATTTAAACGTTTTATTTTGCTCATTTATAGGAATTAACTGTAAATTGGGGGTAATTTAAACAAACTGTATCATATACAAACATTAATGTTAATATTTTTCCTTCAACATTAGCTTGTGTGAAATTCTTCCACACTTTAGATGGTGAACGTGGCATTTCTCTGTATAATAAAATATCAAAAAAGATTTTTAAATATAGTTTGCTGAACAACAGGTGATGGAGTAGGAGATTAGTTTGAAGTAAAGGGTATCATGAAGAAGGAACAGTACCACTCCATCCTCCAGCACCATGCTGTTCCATCTGGACTCAGACTTTGTTGTAGAAAATCCAGCATAAACTTAGTAAAACAACGCACAGGAGACAGGATGAGATCTGAAGAACAGCCTGGGCGTCTTTTATTGTACAGATGTAGAAATCAGTACAGATGACAAACAGAGTCTGTTGTTAAAGCCAGAGGAGGTTACTTTAAAGAAAGTCTAAGCAACAATAACTCAAATACCTCATAATTATAGTCAAAATGTCTTCTGATAAGTTACTCTTTACACAATAGTCATGTTTATTGTGTTGCAAATTATATATATTATAAAATAACAATTATTATGATTTATTATTATTACTAACGTCAAACTATCATTGGCTCCTGTAGAGGCTGACGGCTCACCTCCACACTCTGAAAACCCCTCCGTATGTCATCAACCTGGACCCTGCCGTCCATGAAGTCCCCTTCCCTGCGAACATCGGTGAGGACCCGCCGAGTCTTTAAACAACATTATTATTAGTCAAACAGAGTTGAATTTTGTCCCTCCTGCTCTCCGTCTTCTTCACTCAGTCTGTCCTCTCCTCCGCAGACATCAGGGACACCGTGAACTACAAGGAGGTGATGAAGCAGTACGGTCTCGGTCCAAACGGAGGCATCGTCACATCGCTCAACCTGTTCGCGACGCGGTTTGATCAGGTGATCCAGTCTAAATCCAGTCCCTTTCTTTTTTTCAAAGTTAAAGTGATGAGCTGTGTTAGTGAGGCGTGTCTACTGTAGATGCAGTTTTCAAGTGTTTCATTATTCTTATGTCAAGTCAAGGGTCTTACTTTTTTGTCTGATACCGTCACAAGTCTGTGTCGATCTTCTTCAGTATAAAACTTTTTGTTTTTGTCTTCCAGGTGATGCAGTTCATAGAGAAAAAGCAGCAGAATCACAGGTCAGTGTCTGTGAAATCTCTTTTCTTTTTGTCGACGTAAAAATTTCACATTTTGGTGTAAAACAGGTCACACAGTTTTTTATCATAATTAAATAAAACTTTGCCATGTGCAGGATTAAAATAAAACATTGTCACAGGTGTCAGAGCTTCATAACTTAAAAAAATAATCCTGCATGTGTGTAAGGTCTGTAAACTAGAAATGGAAACTAAATGTATTTGTTGGAGAAGCTCAACAAAAAGAAAAACATAAAAAAAGAGTTTAAAAAAAGGAAAACTTCTCCATCTTCAGTGATTATCATCAAATATTCGTGCAGACATCCACTCATCATGTCAAATCAAACATGTTTTATTTTCTGAGTAAAGTTCAGATCATTAAGAACATGATCATATATTCAGTGTTGAAATCATATCTCTGAAGTTTAACGGGTTTGTTGACTGTTATGTGTCTGATGACCTTTGACATCTGCAGGTATGTGCTGATAGACACTCCAGGTCAGATTGAAGTCTTCACTTGGTCGGCGTCTGGAACCATCATCACAGAAGCTCTGGTGGGTCTGCGCTCGCTCTTGTTGTTTCATTTACTCGATAAAATCACCGCCGGTTTGATCTTCATGTCTGCATGTTTTTCAGGCGTCCTCGTTCCCCTGTGTGGTGATCTACGTGATGGACACGTCTCGCAGCGTCAACCCGGTCACATTCATGTCCAACATGCTTTACGCCTGCAGGTACCAACGCTCCAACGATCAGTGATTATAAATAAAACACTGAAGTTAGTATCAGACATAAACCGAGTAAAAGATTCGACCCTGCAGATTCATGTTCCTCAGGAAAAGTATAAAAATACATCTAAAGATACAAACGTCTCGACTTGTTCTTCCTCAGAAAATGAGCGTTGAGAGCAAATTAACTCATAAAATCTGGCGGTGAATGAAGTCCATTTGTGCGTTCATTCATTTGCAGTAGCTGTGTGGCAGCAGTGACTTTATTTTACCAGCAGGTGGAGCTAACAGACAGTCTGACTTTTACACCCAAAACAGCAGATTTTCCACTCTGGATGAAACAGAAAAACAGACTCAGATCTGCTCAGATGAAGTCTCTCTGTTCCTGACTGATCTGTTCATTTCTCTGTTTCAGTATTCTCTATAAGACCAAGCTGCCCTTCATCGTGGTCATGAACAAGGTGAGATCTCCGTCCACCACTTCTCCTTCTCTGTGTGTTTGTAACTTTCCTCTCATGAACCTCCTCTCGATGCTCTTCGTCCAGACTGATATCATCGACCACAGCTTTGCCGTGGAGTGGATGAAGGACTTTGAGGTTTTCCAGGACGCCCTGAATCAGGAAACTTCGTACGTCAGCAACCTGACGCGCTCCATGAGTCTGGTGCTGGACGAGTTCTACACAAACCTGAGGGTGAGAGGGCGAGCGTGCAGTGGGGGGATTTAATGGAGACAAATTTAAAGACAGACCTCAATAATGCCTGATGAACTCAGACGAGATCAACGTTAGTTAATGAAGAACTTTAAACCCTGACTGATCTGCACCCTGAAACTCAAGGAGGCCGGACTTCAGCGTTAGTCGCCTTTCTTCGGGGTTACTCAGATTTTTTACCTTTAGAGGGTCACACAGTATCAGTACATGCAGGTTAGCATGTTTTTTCAGTTCACTAAACAAAATAAAAACAACAAAAATGGTTCTGTTAAGGAACTTAAAGTGAAATAAAGTTTAAAACAACACTTTAAAATGTATAATGTAGCTTTTATATCCTGTTTACAGTGTGATATAGAAGAGAGGCTTCATTCAGGCGTGTGCAGCTGCTTTTAGTTTGAAATGCAAAGGAAGTGAGCGGAGTTCGAAGGCTGTCCAGAGTTTACTGCTAAGTATTAACCACCATTATTGTGGGAGGAAGTATTTTAAAACAGCTGGGTTATAATATTGAACAAAGCGCAGTGATGGACGGACCTGAACTGGGACAAACAAATACAGGTATGGAGGTGGGGCGTCTAAAAACCGCCCTGAGCAGGTTTGACAGACGTGTATCTGTGTTGGTTCTCTGGTCTTCCAGGTGGTTGGTGTTTCAGCAGTGACTGGAAGTGGATTAGATGAGCTGTTTGTCCAGGTGGAGGATGCTGCACAAGAGTATGAGAGGTACATTTCTGGATTAAAGGTTCATACATATGCATCATGATTTTATCCAGCAAGAAGCTCATTAACATCAAACAGAAGGAGACCAAAGATTGAACCCTGGGGAACTCCGAACATTACTTTGTGTCGTCAGCGGAATCATAAATGACAAAGACTAGAAAATGACGTATTCAATGAGGATTATAAACTGAACTCTTTCCTCTTCAGGGATTATCGACCAGAATATGAACGACTTCGCAAACAGCTGGTGAGTCAGAGTTTCTGTCATGTCCTGTTCTCGTACGTCTTCCTGTTTTTACCGACTCTCTCTCCTTCAGGCCGAGGCTCAGAGTAAGAAGCAGCAGGAGCAGATGGAGCGGCTCAGGAAGGACCTGGGAGCTGTGGACATGAGGAGCACACCTTCTTCAGGTGATCATAAACTATCATGAAATACGACAAGTTTCCCGAGGTTCACATCACAGGTTTTACGATTGAACTCCCCACAAATCACCAAAGTTTGTGTGTTTTATTGTCTGAAGGAGACGCTGACGTAGCCGGGCCAAGTGACCTCATCATGATGCGAGGAAACCCCGACAAAGAGGAGGAGGAGGTGGACAGCGACACTGACGATATTGACCACACAGGTGAGACAAGAAAAAACCCAAACACACAAAACTTTTTAAAAAACGAGTAAATATAAAAACATTTTGATTTTAAAATAAACTCTTTTTTTCTTTTAGTGACGGAGGACAGCAAAGAGAAGGACGCCTTCGGTAACTTCTTAGCCGAGAGAAAGCAGGTGGTTCGGGTTCGGAACAAAAAGTGCGCCATGCCTGACCCCTGACCCCTGACCCCTGACCTCTACAGCCTCACTTTGAACTCTACACAGAAAAGGAAGAATTTAACGGAGGGACGTAGAAGTCCTCCTTCAGGTCTGGAGGTGCCTCAGAAACTCCTCCATGATGGTTTCCTCCGAGTCCAGATACGAAGCCTGAACTCTTTGAGCTGAACTTCAAGTCCGATCAGGTGACCTCTGACCTTGTTGCGCTAGGAAAAACGCTCCTCGGTGACGCTCCCTCCCCAACAGAAGCTCTATTTTTATATTATTAAAAAAGTCGTATATTCTGCTTTTTGAGTTTTTCTCAATGAAGTTTTGTTTGTGAAAGCACTGAGAGGATTTATGATCGACGGAAATAAAAGCTTTTAGTTCTGAACGAGTTTGTGTTTGTGACGTTTTCCAGCAGAAATCATCGGCGTCTGGTCGTCAGCTGACAAACTTTAGTCGACAGTTAGTGGAGAAAAAATCAAAATGATTAAAAACATGAATTCTCTTTCAGTCTGAAGCTGTTATTCTACTGAGAGATGATCATAAATCACTTTAATACTTGTTATACGTGCCTGTCAACCTGAATAATGAGTCTGGATTACCACTCACATCACATTTAATCCGTTAAACAGGCATCCAGGGCGCTTTGTGCACATTTGTAGCTACTATAAGAGCATCAGGAGAGAACTTTTTAACACTTTTGTTTTATGCACCGTAAGATCATCCAAGGGGCACTTCTGCACACATTTATTCCCAGGAAGGACATCCTGAAGGCGGTTTTTAATATTTATTTTAGGAAAATCTTTAGGGTGAGATTTTACATTTCAACCCTAACCCTGTGGAGGGACATCCAGAGGACAGTCTCTCTGTTTTCCACCAGAGACGACATTTCATAATGTTTTATTTCTGCAGCATTTCCTCAAGCGTGAGGGTACGGAGAGCAAAAGCAGACAGATTACAATGCACTGTAATATATGAACTCCTATCAGCGCTAATCTGAGTAACAATCTGATCAGGTTTGACATTTACAGTCGAGCGGTAAAAACACTCTAAATACCAAACTGTCATGAAATTTCTTGACGTCCTTGAATGCATCAGAAGTGACTGATCTGACCTCAGTTCAATGTTTTCTCATCCTCGAGGACAAACCTGACAAAGTTTGACTTTTTACAAATTTGCAGCAAGATGCAGATTTTACAGAAGAGGATTAGAGCCTAGAAAAAAAAAAACAAGGTCAGATATAATTTTTTAAATTATTATTCTGAGGAAAAAAAAGTCAGAATTCAGAGTTTTTTTCTCAGATTAATAATAAAAAAATATATTGGACCTGTTTTTTGTTGTTGCAATGGCTTAAATCCTCTCCATTAAGATTTTTTCTCTTTAATTTATTTTATTTTATTTTTGGAAACCAGCGACACATAAAAACAGTGATATGTGTTTGTCCTGTTTCACTCGTGCACACAGGTAGGAGACAAATATGTATTTTTGCAGACAAATGTGAATATTTTGATGTGCAGCATTTATAAAGATCTTATTTAGCGTTCATGTTAAAATTTAAAGTGTCTTTTTTTAATAACAAAACTCTCTGGATGTCAGAATAAACCCCCTCCGCAGACTCTCTCTCTATCAGACCCTCCTCGCCGGTTAAAAGAGCAGCTCTGTGGTTTCTCTCTCTGGCGGCATCCATCAGTGCGGCGTGGATCTGTCGCCGCTGACAGCAGCCGTGGTCGTGTTCGAGCGGCTCTCATTCATGTCTGCGCTCTGTGAATGGATGCAGACTCTCCGCCCACCGACCATCTGCCGCCACGCTCTGTTCCCTCGCCTACACGCTCGCCGAGATCCGGCAGCGTGGTCCGGCTGAAGAGAGGCTGACTCACTTTCCACACACAGGCGTTTTTTCTCAAGAGCTGCACTTCAGAGTCAGTTAAAGGCCTTAGAAATATTTCACTTTTCACAGCAGTGAGCACGTCTGACAGTTTTAACTTAAAAAAACATGAAAAAGTTTTTAAAATTAAAGTTTTTCTCAGTTTATACAAGTACAGCTGTTTAATAACAATCATCAGTGTTAGTCGTGTGCAAATCAGGTCAGACTGAACTCATTTTGACCAGATTCAACAGTTAAACCCTGTACAGCCTAAATTTATACTTTAACTTTTCACTTTAATGCTACAGTACGAGTATTTTTATTTGAGTAATACATCTGAGTACCTACAAATACTACAAATAACTGAAAGAAAAAGACTGAAATTCTGCAAACTTGTTCCTGAAAGGGACTTTTTTTTTGCAGTTAATGTTGGAGAGTCATCTGTAACTGAAGAGGAGAGGAGAAAGGAAAACTTAAATACCCTGAAATAAAACCTGACATCGACAAAATCACAGTTTTCTGCAGATTTTCGAGGTTCAAAACAGAAACTGCAAATTTAAGTTTGTCTTTAATCCTTTCTTGTGGTTTGAAGATACCTGAACATTAAATCGGTTTATTTTCTTTGTATTTGCACTTTTCCTTTCCATGTTTCTTAATTATTCATTATAAATCTTTTCTACGTTCAGTCACAACACTGCAGAGACATAAGAAAAAACACAAACAGGATGCTGGATGAACGTCTTTCCAACTCTGAGTTTATTAAACCAAAGAAAACTGAAGATGCAAATTCCTTTAATTTTAGACACGATAAACATGTTGCAATAATAAAAAAATCTTGCATTTGCAGCAAGAAAGAATAATTATCCAGTCCTGTGACGATAAGAGTGATAAAAACTTGAAAATATCTAGAGGAGATTTAGAAAATTGATTTTTTCTTTCAATTTCTGAACTCCTGAGAAGAAAGTTTGTTTGTGCAGTTTTCCCAAAAGTGTTTTCATGCAGGAAAACAAAGACAACTCCACGCAAAAATCAATACCAGAAAAAACAAACTGATAAATGTGAGCAGCTGAGTCTTTGTCAGGTGATTATTTTTCACTCAAAGCTGTGTGACTCTGTCGTCCTAACTTCCCTGAAATGGTTTCGTTCGTTCTTCTCTCACTCTTTCATTTTTTTTAGGTGGAGGAGGAGAAGTGAGAGCGGTGTGTGTCGGTGGGACATGTTTCCCGTCTGTCCTCCATCCCGTCCCTCAGGTGAGTTTCTGGAAGCCTCCGCCTGCAGCAGCACTGACTCACCTCCGCTGACATTCAGCCCACACTCATGTCTGTCCTCTCTCTCTCTCTCTCTCTCTCTCTCTCTCTCTCGCTCTCTCCTCCTCTGCCTGCAGCTCTCTCGCCCCTCCCTCACCCTCTCTCTCTCTCTCTCCCCCTCCTCCTCAGTGGGCTGCAGACATGAGCACAAACTCAAGAGTCACGACGCCTCGCCGACACGAATAAAACACACGACTGTTGGCTGAGAGTCAGTTCAGCTGTTCATTCATCCTGAGCAGGACACATGTACTCACTCTTACTCTGATAAACTGGTTTGGACTGGTCTGAACTGGTTTGGACTGGTTAGCTGCAGCATCAGTCATCCAGTGCAGGCTGTCACTCTAAGAAAAATGAGAAATCTGTGAAAGCTCTCTCTTTACTCTGCACTCGACCTGTAAATGTTTCTCTAACATAGAAAACGTTATCCAGATACCTGCCCACAGTCTTTGTGGATTCTGAGGACTCAGACCCGGGTCCGAAAGATCATCATCATCACCCTTTTAATAGCTGTGATTGGTTGATCCTGAAAACTAGATAAAAGACATACCTTTGGTGATAATGGTGTAAAAGATGGACCCTCAAATCGATGGACTTAATCATAGAATCTGAAAACTGTGATTGTTAATAATATTTCACTTAAAAGAAAATAAATGTTCAATTAATGTCCATGTACTTCAAGGAAATGATAAATGATCATAAATGTTCTTCCTTGAGCTGCGTCACCCCGCTGTAGTCTGTAATGGACTGGCCTGAAACAAGCGTCTGCTGGAAGAGAGTAGGTGAGTTGTGTTTAGTCTCTTTGCTAAAGAAATGAGTCAAAGTTAAAAAGATGTTTGGTGTCTAGTACTATGGCTGTGACCCTATATGCACTAACCAGAGTAGAACATGGTGTAGTTTTGTTCAGTAACAGAACCTCATTGGAAAATTAGCTGATTTAACTTTACTGTGCTCTTGTTCAAATATATTAACTCAACAGCACATATATCCATACTTGTTAACAAAATCATGATTTTATTGATAATTCGGCTCAATAAAAACACCTTTACCTTTTCATTTTACTACAGTAGAAGTTTATTGGCCCAGCTTATAGACTACAGAAGTGGAGAAACGCCCCCACTTAAGTTTATGTTTTCTTAGGAGTTAGAACAACTCTGAATATAGTACTATGGCTGTGACCCTATATGTCCTGTTGATGAAGTTAGGTGCTGTTCTGAGCATTATTTGTGGCTATAGAGTGGCGTTTTGGTTGAGCGTGTGGCTCTCTGTATTTCTATCCTGCGGTCGTTACTAAAGTTGGTATAACTAGAGAAGCAAGCGGTCTGCAACATTCATCTCTGGAGGGGGGGTCTACCTCTTTGTGTTTGACTCTAAATTAATTTTACACAGGAATATCCCTTTAACTCTGAGTTTCTATGAGCCCTCAGATCTGAGTCTCCTCCTCCTCCTCCTGCTGTGACTCTGTGAACCTTTGTCACTCCTGTAACCCCGCTCTCTCCCCTCTCACCCGTCTCCTCCTCTGTCAGAACGTCATAAATACATAAACACCATCTTCTATATTTTAACACCGGGCTGAAATCTCCTGCATCACTGACATCATCTCGCTCACACACGCCTCAGATCATTTTTAATGTCCTCAGCTCAAACTCAATTATGGATGAAGTAACTCGCCATCTTTTTTTTCTCTCTCTCTCACGTTTCCATGACATCACTCGCCGCAGAGCTCGGCGCAGTGACCTCACCGCAGTCAGAGGTGATGTCATCTCTTCCTGAAAGTCTGCTGCTGTTTGTCCATCACCATGTACCCCTCCACCATCCTGACCTCCTCCTCCTCTTCTTTTCCTCCTCCATCCTTTTCTTCTTCTCCTCCTCCGTCAGCTCTGCCCTGCAACAACGCTGCATGCAGCTCTTTAAAAAAAAACACACCCCGCTGCTGCAGATGTGTCGGCTGAATCCGTAACCTGATGTGACTTCCACACAAACACACACACACACACACACACACACACACACACACACACACACACACACCCTGAGAGTGGGGCTCTGAGAGCTCGCAGCTGATTGGCTGGGGGTGACATCATCAGTTGGGATGTGGAGGTTTCTCTCTCCTCTTGATGCTGCAGCCTCCCACTCAATTTACCACCTACACACACACACACACACACACCTACACACACATTAAAACCTGCAGCAGTGCACACACCACAGAACCTCTAAATTCGATCTCAGACCCACAGACATCCTCTGAGGGTCTGAACGGTCCTCCAAATGAGGCTGAAACTGGTCCTCACAAGGAGACACACACACACACACACACACACACACACACACACACACTGCAGCTGCATTACATCATCTGCTTGAGTGTGAGGAGCAGAAGACAAACAGGCTGGTGGAACACTGTGTCCTGCTCTGCCGTGGTGCATGCTGGGAGCTGTAGTCCTCTGTCAGTTTAATGACACAAAGAGAAAACAGCGAGGCGTCATGATGATGAATCATCCAGCAGCCGAACACAAAAGAAAGTCTTTATTATTTTGATTTGTATGATAATGATTTTTATTTTTTATGACTGTGTGAAGAACGAACTCGTCACCAAAAACCTCTTTGTTTACTTTTTTTCTGGATGAAGAAAACAACTATCCAAAAAAATAAGAGAAAAGTTCTTGTTCATGGTGAAAAATCTGTTATTTCTCTGGATAAGCGAGATGCAGCCGCTTCATATAAAAGAGGATTATGATCACAAGAAGAGAAAAAGAATAATTACAGGAGGGAGATTTTTTAAATTTCCATTTTAGGGTTAAAGGTGGGGTAGGCAAGATTTCGTTAAAGAAGCATTTTTTTATTTTGTGGTGTATTTACAAAAAAATCTTTTAATATCAGTCAATAGTTATTAGTTATTGATGACATTTGGGAATATAACGATATTGATATTTTGTGAGTGGTCCGCTCTTTCTGACTGTAAACAAAGCCGTTCTCCACCTCCTCTAACCTGATTGGTTGTGAGGCAGACGCTGCTCCCCCGTGTCGTTCAGGAGCCCAAACAAAGTTAGCGTGCTACAATATCGGACAGTAGAAACCAACCAGAAAGTTCGGAAAATTGTCTGAATCCTCCTTTGGCCACGACTGCCGACACAAGCAAGAAAACAAAGTAAATACCGGAGGCTCTGGAGGAATATAAGATTTCTCCTAAGAAGGTCACTTCAGGAGGCAAACATGCTCCAGCTGTGTCTCTGAAGGCATTTCTGATTGAAACTGTCTTTTAGGTCAACAATGTGCAGTTTCTGTGCAACTGTGAAGCCCCAAAAAGTAAAGAACAAAAGTAGCATCTGTAGTCCTGAGGTGTATGAGTGCTCTGCGGTCTTTTTTCAGTTTTATACAAACAACAAGAAGACGACGTGTGCTTTTAATCTGCATGTTTGTGCAGAAAATAGACAAAAAGGTTTAAATCTAAAGTTACAGGAGTGAGTGTTTGGGCTGCGGTCAGATCCTAAAGGCCTGATACTGAGGATCTTCAGACTGACTCATTTTTATGAAATGACTAAAATGTTCATTTTTCCAGTAAAATCCGGACATGTGTTGTTTTCATTAACGTGATAATGGCTGCGATTGTTCAGCCTCTCTGAGCGGTTCGTCTTTTGTTTGATGTGTTTGAATGAAAATGAAAAAGCGTTAGACGGTCGGGCTGGCTGACAACCAGAGCAACAGACGGAGGCGTTAGCACACCAATCTAGATCTGTGTGTGAGTGTGTGTGTGAGTGTGTGTTAGTGTGTGTGTGTGTGAGCGATGAGTCCCACAGTCAGGATGAGTAACAGTTCATTGTCAGCTTTTAAATTTAGCGCTGACATTTCCTCAGAAGAACACCAACCCGACAAACCGGATCAGACCGGACCTGCTGAGTCGCACTAGATCATGTTCTACTTTCATGTTAATGTTGACTGTGATTTATCTTCATGGTTTAGATGTTTTAATGTCCTTTAACAGAAATAAGGGAATCACACTGGACTGGATCAGATCGGGTTGGATTGGTTCAGGTCCACAAGTACTTTGTGGATGAGGTTGAGTTTGTGCAGAATTTGAGTCCAAGACGAATTTTTCCCAAAAGACAATAAAGTGAAGCACATCGTAGCCTACTGAATCATTTTAGTTTACTCTTTTGTTTTCATAATTGTATCTTATCGTGTATCCGTGTTTCGTTCTTTCGTAATTCCAAATATTTTTTTTCATTTTCTCATTTTCATCATTTTCTCATTTCTCATCAGTTTTTTGTTTTTCTGTATTTTCGTTTTAGTTTAAGTTGATTTGGTTTTGAAATCGGAATACCACGATTCATATCCTATCATATGAATCGTACTGTTTTGTTTCATATTATATCGACTTTAGTTTTCATTTATCATATCATTATCATCATCATTATCATTATCCTGTTGTATTTTATTGTATTTTACTGTATCAAAACAATCATATTGTTTACAATTATGTCACATCGCGTCATACTTTATCACATCATATTTTAACTCATCATACCTTCTGTTTTTAACTGTTTCATATCTAATTTTATCTCATTTTATGTTATTGTATCATTTCATCCTATCATGTCCTATTGTACTGAATCGTATTTTATAGTATCATATTGATCAGATCATAGACAGTTGTGTTATATCATTCATATTTTCATATCATATAGACTCATATCATATTTTTTCTTATCATACCTTCTGTTTTTAACTGTTTCATATTTAATTTTATCCTATTTTATATTATTGTATCGTATTGTATTATAGTGTATGGTATGGTACCTCCACCTTCTACTCCTCACACTCATCAGATCATGTCATATTGGACTGAATTGTATTATATCTCATCTCATTTTCAATATTGTCATGATTGTTGTGGGTTTTGATGCTGTGTTGTACCTGCAGCAGTTTTCCTCTCAGGGGTCAAAGGTGGACCATACTAACATATGCATACTGACTCCAATGACAGAAAAACAGTATAATGGATTATTAAACTAAAGCAGAGGAAGAAAATGTGTTTTTTTTATTTATTCTTAAAACCTGTAATAATATCCCAATTAAAAGACAGAAAACACAAAACTGAATAATAAAATCACAGAATTTAATAAATTCTCAGATGATAGTGAAAGAAAACAAAAGTAGAATAAAAACACGAGGTGTTAAATATATAAAAAACTGTCTAAAACCAGTAATTTAACCAGTAAAATAAGGTCCATTCAGTGGTGGAGAGGCCTCATTTGCTTTAATTTAAGACGTTTCTTGTTCCAGGAATCTTAAGCAGGTTTTTTCCCGTCACGCTGGTTTCCATGGCGTTCATTTTTTTCTTGTGTAAGATGAAACACACTTGAGCGACGAAGAGCTCCCTGACACTGATGAGGAGGATTCCTCTGAAATAACCCTCCACTGCTCTCAGCTCCCCCTCCTTTCTCCACCTCCTCCTCCTCCTCCTCCTCACACTGCCCCGCTCAGCCAATCACAGCCCGGTAACCCTGCCAGCCAATCAGACGGCTCCTGGGTGATGTCATGCAGCAGACTGCTGTTGGTGCTGATGCTGCTGAGCTGCAGATCTTCAGTCTGAACAGAGAGACCGAGCATCACTGCAGGGTGAGTACAAACTCTCATCTACACTCATATTTATCTCTATTTCTGTGTTTCTGAGCTTGTTTGTTGTTTATGTTGAAGTTTCCTGCAGCTCAGAAACCTGCAGCTTCATTCAGACAGAAATCTGAAACACAAAACCAGCCTCTCCTCCTCTCCTCCTCCTCTGTGTGTTTTCTCTCCTCTCTATCTTTTCATTTTCTGCACTTTCTTTCTCTCCTCCATCCTGTTTTTCTTCTTCTTTCTGTCTGAGCTGCTTCGTCTCCTCAATCTTTGACTTCCTCTTCTTCAACGTTAGTTTAGTTTTGGAGCTGCGTGCTCCACTCGCTCATCTCTGCAGAAGGTGATGCGCTTTACTGGCAACAATGACATCATTGCTTTGTCCGTGCACACACACACACACACACACATGCACACTCACGCACACAAAGACGCACATGCACACTGCTCTACATTTGTGTTTGCACGGATCTGTAGATTGGAAATAATTTGAATATTTGTCATAATTTTGATCAGAAATTTGTTTTTTTTTTAACGGAAAAGCTTTTGTTGTGCAGTAAACTTAAAGGTTGCTTCTTTATTTTGTGCAGATGTTTCCCTCCTTGAGTAGTTTTGCATTTTGAGGAAACTTTGAGGTGAAATCTGCGGCTGTTGGAATCCCTCTGGGTTCAGTTTGAGTGTTTATTTTTTTGTGCATAAGCAGGATGATGTGATCGTAACAGGACGATAATTCACGAGTTCAAACTCCTGCAGCCTGTTTACGTGTTTCTGTGTTTGTGGCTCATTTTATTTTCACACTTTGCATTAATTATCCTCACCTCCAGAGGTCACACCTGCAGAAACACGAACAGCTATTACTCGTGTTTGTAACGATGACTCGACTCAGAAATGACGTAATTTCAATCAGGACCAAACAAACTTCAACTCCTGTGCAAAATACGATTAGAGAAAAATACCAGTACTTAAGAGTTCTGGGAAAGTGAGAAGTGGTGCAAAACAAGCTAAAACTGCAGCAGGTGCAGGACTGCAGCTCCTTTTATTGACTTTCTCCAGGTTTCGGAGCAGACGCTGACTCCACTTTACTGACTTTGTTTGTTGTTGTTTAGACTGACGAGCAAACTGAGCAAACTAAACATAAACTGAGATCTCTCTAAGTGTCATTCACACTTGTATTTTCTTGCATTTCTGCTGTTGTGTGAATTATACACCATTTAAAGACTCCATATTGTACAAAATTAAGAGTCAGACACATTTACAGTCTGGTTCTTGTTCAGTTTTTGTGTGAAGCCATTAAAACGTTCGATCTTTTCTCCACAAACATCTTTCTTTGCTTTCCCGGTGATTAAATGTGAGTTGTTGTTTTTCTTTTCTGTCTCTCCTCAGGAACAGACTCTACCTCACCACAGTGTCTTTGTCAGAAAACAGCAGCAGCAGCAGGATGACTCTGGCAGGTAAAACTTCACTCTTTATTTTTACTTTAATCTCGTGTCGAGGGTTTTATCTCTGCTGCAGTTCTTCATGCTGCCCCTTCTGAATGTTCTAGCATACAGAGAGAAGATGAGAGAGCTCCCCCTGGTGTCTCTCTTCTGCTCCTGCATCCTTCCTAAACTCAGAGAGACTGCGGAGGACAAGAAGGAAGGTCAGCACAGCTCTTCTTTTTCTATTCTGGGAACGGGAAACTAAACCTGAACAGATCTCAGACAGGACTTAAGATAATTTACTCTCATAAAAGCAACGATGAAAGAGTCTTTGGGCACAAATCAAACTCCTGCTTTTAAGTAAAAACTTCTCTAAAAGAAGTTAAAACAAAGTACTTCACACTTCAGATACAGTATTTTAGTAAATCTAGATAAAAATACACTTATCATTAATGACATAAATGTTCATTAAAAGTCAAAGTTCATCTAAATTACTTTAATAATTCATCAGGGACATAAAAACTCTTTTAGTCCCACAGAGTTTTAATCCGATCTTTCCAGGTTTTCACAGTTTCTTCTTCTTCTTCTTCTTCTTCTTCTTGCAGGTGTGGTGGACTTGAATCTGTGCAACATCCGGGACATGGAGGTGATCGAGCTGAGCAAGCGTTCTAGCGGCCAGGCCTTCGAGGTCATCCTGAAGCCGCCAACTTTTGACGGCGGTCCCGAGTTGAGGGCGACCACACCGCCTCGTGGGAAACCCTCGCTGGAAGAGATCCAGAAGAAACTCGACGCAGCGCAGGAAAGGAGAAAGGTGAGCGAGCGATTGAGAGAGTCTACACGCGGACTCACTCGTCTATATGCTAATGAAAGACATAAAATACACCTTTACGGTCTTAGTTTTGTGTGTTGGCGTGATCGTTTTTATCGGTACTTTGCACAAAAGTTGGAGCTGCTGGAAATGTCAGAGGTTCTGCAGGGATTAGGTCGTAAACTGAAGTAAAGGACACACTGAAATGTCAACTTGAGGACTGCACTTTAGGGAAGTAAATGCATCATTTAAATCTGTAAATGTAGACTTCTGTTGTCCAGGAACATTTGTACAAAGTTTTATGGTAATCCGCTTAAAAGATGCTGAGATATTTGAGTCGAAGGAAAAACAGAAGTGGCTCCAAAGTCGAACCCTGAGGAACTCCAAAGGCTTTTTACAAAGTCAGGAGTTTATTATCTACAGTTATTATCTGTTTTGGACTGAACTACAACAAATATTTGATCATTTAAATGAACAGAAATTAGAAAACCATCAACAGAGTCTGTGAAACCAGATCTAAAATAAATGAAAACTCTGATCTAACTGACTGTAAATCCCCCCTCTGACTCCCTCTAGTGTCAGGAGGCGGAGCTGCTGAAGCACCTGGCCGAGAGGCGAGAGCACGAGCGTGAAGTCGCCCAGAAAGCTCTGACCAAAGAGCGTCAGGAGCATCGCGCCGACGCCGACAAGGAGCTGAGGCAGATGCACCTGAACGCATCACAGGAGAAGCTGCAGGAAGAGGTGAGGACAAATCTTTAACGAGGTTTTTTATTAACGATGAATATACAATCAGACTTACGGAGATTCTGTTTCCTAAATACAAGTTTTCTGCTGTTTGTGTCTTTCAGGACAAGCACAGTGTGGAGGTGAGGACCAGCTGGAGGAGGAGGAGGGGATTCTGGGTAGAACAAACATACAGAGACAGTGACAACAAAGCAGAAATCAGTCAGTTAAATAAGAAGGTGGAGTTTGAGTCTAAGCTTGAAACTGAGGAAGACGATTTTTTTTACTTTTGCAGATAAAAAAGTCAAGAATAATTCAGACGACCCTTTGTGGATGTGCATATTGTATTTTCAGTGTTAATTTTTTAATTAATGTTAAGATATTTGGGTTTGGGTCAGGATCAACAAAAACAGTAGTGGTCCTAAAATCGAACCCTGGGGGACTCCAGAGTGGCCTTACCCCAGACGAATCTACAGCCGAGGGCATTACGTCTACAGCATCCTGTGATTAGAGACATATTCTAATTTTAGTTTTTTTATAAATGAAAACGTCTTTAATTCAGTTATTGATTCAGAAAAAATATTGTCAGAAAATAGAAAAAAATTTAGAAAATCATCAATAGAATCAATGAAACCAGAACCAAACCACATAGATATGAACTCTGTGGGATCAAAATAATCAAATGTGGTGAATTTAGGCCATTAAAACTGTGATCTTGGATCATACTGCATAAAATATGTAGTTTTTAAAGAAATACATTGAATTTAAAGATCAGCTGTTGAAGAGGTTGTCCAGCAGGTGGTGCCATTTACCACTTTTAGCCCCTGAACTTAATAGAGACACTTTTAGGCTGTTGAAGGCCAAACTCTGGTTAACCAGCAAAAGTTATTCAGTATTAATTCATATATTCGCATTTATAAACAGGACTCAAGTTGGTGAAAGTATTTAAGGTTGTGAACAGAGTTGAGATTTGATCATTTTATTTTAAGAGGGACTTTTCAAAAGAGTTAAACGCACAAACTTACATATCTCATTTTAGTCTAACTTTGCTCTCAATATGTGAAAAAAAATCCCTTCTTATTTCTCTCCAAAATGTCTGGGTGAAGTGCTGACTCCGCCCCTTCTCCTCTCCCCTCAGGTGTCTTGATGGCCTGATCACAACACAAGCTGAACTTAATTTGGAAGCCATTTTGGAGGGCAGATGATCGCCGTAAACCAGGCGCTGCCCTGATTTGGAGTTTTGACGTGAAGAGACTCAAAAAGAAGCGAGAGAAGAAAAGAAAGAGGAGGACTGAGGAAAAACGTGTGACTGCCCGTCCTCCTCTGTAAAACCAGGACTCTTCTTTACGAGATAAAAACTTTACCACGAGGGAAAAACTTCGGGACACCGGGAAGACGCTGCAGATGCAGTTATTTAAAAGATGGACCGCAGAGGTTTAACTGTGCTTTGTTGCCATGCCAACAGTGCCATTGTGTTCATGTATGAGTGATTATGTAAGAATTCAACATCTTCACATGTCTGAAAAGCTGTACCAAACCTTACCGAAGAGGACCAGATCCAAACCCAAAGGAACCGTCACGATAAAGGGACTACATCTAATAAAAAACCTGCACTGCTTCCAAGTCAAGTGATCCCTGGACTGAATGGCGCCATCTGAAGGACGGTTTAGATCATGGCATCGAGAGCAGAACAGAAGCTGTGAGAAAGCATGACAAGAAAAGCGGCTGTGCTTCGTTCTCACAGAGCTTTAGTCGGAGAAATCCTGAGCTGCTTCGAGGAAAGCCGAGCCCTCCCACAGACCAAGACGAAGAGAACAGGGGCGATACCAACAGAAACATACTGAGATGTGAGATTGTCATATTCAGAACATGATTCTGAGTTTGAGAAAAGCAGTAGGACTTGAAAAAGGTTTGGTTAAAAACACCCACCAAAGACAGAACCTACGCCGAGATAAACCAGGTCTCACCACCCGAAACCACTCAGACTGAAAACACACAAACCTGAAACCGAGTAAGATCTCTGAAAAGTGTTAACCCCGGAACTGTTATGCAAAACTTTCATAATAAGGCGACCAAAACCATCCAGCGAAACAGGACAGATTCAGGTCGAAAAGCTGACTAGGACAAGGTCAAAGTCAGAGGACTGAGGAGAGTCGGTCAAATCGACTCGAAAATAGCACCAGAATTAGGACATGTTCATCTTTACATGTCGGCATGGAGTCGAGTCATGGCGTGGAAAAAGAAAACAAAGGAGGAAACTGCTAAACTGTGTCAAACTGGTTTAAGAAAAAGTACAAAGACCAGTTATAGAAAAAAACACAACACCGACAAGAGATGAAGCCAAGGAGGGAAAATCCTTAAAGCTGACTTGTGCTTTCATAACCTGCAAATTCTGGTTAACGAAACCTTCTTAAAAGAGACCATTCAGAGTAAAACTGGACCAGATTTAGACGAAACATAAAAATAGACCCGGAGAAATAAAAAAATCCCATAAGACTAAACAAAATCACCATGAATCACCTCTGAATATTCCTGAGACTGACTCTCACTTCAGCTGCATGTTTGTTTCCTTTCTGTGCGAAATGAATACGAGGAAAAAAGGCGCAAAGAAATTGTCCCGCTGCTTCACGGCTGACTCACGTTAGCAGGAATCGTGTCCCATAAACATCATTATCGATGAATAACTGATAATCGACTGTGTACATTGTTTACAGCTGTGTGTGAGTGTTTGTGTGTGCGTGTCAGTCTGTTTCCCTGGCAACGTCAATGTAAAGGAGTCAGGGTGATGATGAAGACGACGACGATGATGATGATGTACAGAAATAGCGTTATATTTTAAATCTGAGAATAAAACAATGACACTTTACTTCATTTTTTTGTCTTTTTTTATTGATTCACACTCTGAGTTTAAAACATCCTTCAATAAATAATGTCCGATAAAAATATATAAATAAAATTAATTTAAATAACAATCATCCATAAATAAATAATCCAAAAAGGAAACAAATTCAATTTAAATAATTCTGTTTGAAACTTTCTCCATTTTCCATCAAAAGAACAAAAAAAAAGTCTTGAAATAAAATAAATTATTAAAGTTAAAAGTTGAAATTAAGGCAGGAGATGACAGAGCAGCGTGCCGTGTTGATAAATGAAGATATTCTCAAATCAGACTTTCTTTGTATGCAGACGATGATCTGGTTTAAATGAATTTACAATAAAGTCTCATTTTTATCGTTATAGTTAGAATCAACTTCAATGTGACGGGGAATATTTCCTCTTGCATGATGAAAAAACTTAAAAATAATCAATTTAGTCTGAATAAAACAATTAAAATTAGATATATATCATATTTTGAAGATTCTGGTGTCTGACAGCGATCGCCGTGCAACTTCAAAAATGAGCTGCAAGATTGAAATTCATGATTAGAATTGATCGACCTGAAGTTACCGTTAGGAAGGAAAGTATTTCAATCATCTTAGTGAATCAGAAACTGATTCTTAGGGTTTTTATCTGCAGAATTAAAGGGTCAAAAATGTAGATCTGAGCGATCTAGTCCAGGTCCTATTCCCCCGAAGGTTCTAAAATTTTGAAGTTATTTCTAAAATGCCATGTGGACTTTGCACGCACTTCTGTGAGCTGGTATTAAAACATTAGTAGAACTCCATGCATGAAGGGTAAAAGTCAACGGAAAAGAAATGTTTAAATTTTTAGGTTTTTAAAATATTTTTAGGCAGTTTTACTCTTCGTCTCAGCTGGTCTTCAGTTTTGGGGTGTGATGATCGGTCGGATGCAGGTGCAGCCCACTGCGATGAGGCGCGACTCCAGGCGGTAGTGGTAGCTGTCGCCTGATCCCGGAGACCTGACCCGGCGCAGAACCAGCACCTGGTGCATGATGGGTCTGGACTGCAGGCTCTGGTCCTCCTGGCCCTCTGAGTCCAGACAGCCCTTTAGGGAACAACGAGCCTCGGACAGCGTTGGTGGGTACATGGAGTCATCGTGGGTGGTGCTGAAGATGGAGGGAGAGAGGAGAAGAACGGTCAATATCAGTTTACCAAAGTGGTTAAAGAGTGATGGTGCTGCACTGTTAAAGAAGAGCGTCTTCATACTTGTACGTCCACGGGGAGATGGAGACGTTCTGCAGGGACCTGATGTTTGAGGCGTGAGTGAAAGTGCTGGGGTCAAGCTGCAGGGGGACGGTCTTTAACGCCGCTCCGTCGTGGGACTTCTTGTGCGTCTTTGCCGAGTGTTTTGGCATGGCTTCCGTCGTCATCATCATCATCATCATTAGTGCCGCGACAACGGCAACCTGAGGAAGAGCAGATGAGGAGATGTGGTTTTTAGACACGTACTCTGGAAAATATCAGGGGCTTTTTACCAGGAAACGTATCTGAGCTTCTTGTTAAATTATACTCTTGAACTTTCAAATTCACAATTAAAACCGATAAAGATGTGAAAATGAAACGTTACAGATGAGTACATGGACCCGACTTTCGAGAATAAGAATCTGATTTAACATTTCTTAACACTTCTTTAACACTTTCACAAACACTTGGAAGATAAATCCTCATAGAGCTGCATAAAAATGTCGCATTTCAACCACTTTTCTACACATTTAATATTAAAGCTTTTGGTTTTTGTCAACTTTGCCCTTTACATGTTTAAGTTTTGTTTTTCTGCTGGTTTTTGAAAGTTAAATTAATAATTTATTTAACACTTAAGAATAAACGGTAAACAAGATTGTACTTTTAGTCTTTTTAACTACGTGACTCTGTGACCATCAATATAAACTAGTCTCATTCATGCTTACACCCTTTATTGAGAGGTCAGATAAACTGAAATTTCAATTTGCAAAGTAAAAGAAGTTTTGTTCTTCATGGTTTTAAATCCATGAGGTCGGTTCAAGAGGTGAACACCGAACAATCTTTGACTATCTTTGACACTTTCACATGTTTCTCTAGGTTGCATGGTTCCCCACCTGTCCCCTTAAAGTCATTCCAAACAGATGCAAGATTCAAACATTCATCACAAACTTCAGTTCAGACAAACAGAACAACAAACCAACTTCAAATTACGATGGGATGGAATAACTATCAGGTCATCGGTGCGTTTATCTACGTCTTGAATCTTCTTTACGGTTTTCTGCTTCAGCTACATCTTTAACAACGTACCCGAAGGTTTTCATTAAGATTCATGAATCGGATCGGAGCTGCTCTTACCGTCACTCTGGAGCTCAGTGTTGAAAACATCTTCTACTTTTAGGTCCTCTTGCTTCTTCTTTAGGTCTTTCTTTGCTCTTCAGGGTCCTCAGGCTCGACTGGAGGTTCAGGTGATGGTTCTTTTCTGAGTTTCTGGAGCTGCAGGTGCTGATCTGCTGGACGTCGGGTTACCCTCCGATATTTATCCTGATTGGCATCAAAGTCGACGCCGCTGTAGGACGTCCCCCCGATGATGATGTAACAATCTTTCCTGTCATCCTTTCTCCACCGTCTTTGATCCTCCTCTCTAAAACCACACTCTTCAGACTCTATGACACGGCCTGATGCTCGACCCACTTTCACAGCCGACATCGAGGTTTGAGAATTCTGCAACGCCGAAGTTGCTGCAGGTTTTCTGGGTCATCTCTACATCTAGTCTCGGGTTCGCACCTGAAGACACCCCTCTGTGTACAAGCATGTTATATTTACCACGCATACATTTTCAGGAAACTTTCAAGGGAAACTCAGCAAACAGGGTCGTTCTCAGGCTGGTTTTAGCTTTGTTTGACCTCAACCGTGGAAAAAACCAACAGTAGATGGTGGACCAGAAAATACTCTCAGGAAGAAGATTTTTTTTCTTTTGGTTTACTTCTAAGGAACTCAAAAACTGTCAGCCAGGATGAAAACCCTGAACTCGCCAGAAAAATGTTAACTAAGGCAGTAAGATATTGAGGGAAGGAGGTCAGTAGGCGAATTTTCTGTCATGATCATTTCATAAAAGCACAGACAGGAAACAGGATGATGGACGTGGAGCGACGGCTTCAAAGAGTTTGACGATGTGCGAATTCTAGCTTTGCTTGAAAATAGAGCAAAAACGACATCAAAATACGAGACTCTGATGGACTCTGACCATGTTGTGTCTATGATTTCCAGTTCTACGTTGAAAGGGCGAGGCCTGACCCCCAATTTCCACCGCATCAGAAACAGCTACTAAAAGGCCGTATCTGCTGATCACAGCCGATCATTTCTATTCAAGTTAACATTTTGAATTCTACCGGCTTCTTTCCATTCCACAGCAGATCGCCAGAGCTCTATTTTTTTGGGGCGCCAGAGCATGCCGGATAAATTCAGCACAGATTAACCCGTGCTGGAAAGGAAGTCGGGCACAGACACAAAATAAAACATCCGGCTTCTTTTCAAAATAAAACACTCCGTGTTTCAGGAGGATCGTATTTCACACCATGCAAACGGGCGGAGACGAACAAGTGAAAGGTTTTTAGACGTCATTTCACCCCGATGACACCATGGATGAGGAGATGCTGATTCTAGAAGTCTAGAAGTAGATTTCCTCCTCTGGAAGGACACAATCTACTGCTTATAACCCAGCAGCGGCTTGGTGGCTGTCTAACATCAGTCTGGTCCTGCTCAAGGTTTCTGCCTGTTAAAGGAACGTTTTTCCTCGCCACTGTCACTCATGTTAGATGAGATGAGGCCAAAACTCATCTTAGGTTGGGTCTTGATAATTCATCAAACAATGAGCGTGGTCTTGACCTACTCTTGTTCTTTGAACAGCATCTTGGGATGACGACTGTTGTGAACTGGCGCTCCATTTATAAATAAAATTTGATTGATTGATTGATTGATTGATTGATATGGTTATGTGTCTGTCTTTATAGAGACAACTCGTTATCGCGCGATTGCATGTGAATCAACGGGTTCTCGTGAATTCTCACGATTCCCACTGAACGTAATCTGCCATGAAATTGGCGGACGGTGAAAATTGCAGCCGTTCCAGATGCGGTGGAAATTTGGTAGAAGGCGAAATGTCTCTTTAAATCTGAGGGTGCAGCGTCTATGGTTTCAAGTTCTACGTTAAAAGGCGAAACGTCTCAAGTCCAGTTGTCCTTTCCAAAAGAATGTCAGATTTTGATTCATCCCGTTCCCATGGCGAGCCCATGATTCAAGCCCATGCGGTGACTCCAACTACAGAGTCCTGATGCTCCTAAACCTGTAGATGTAGTTCAGCATTAATGGAGTCTTCACAGATGAGGAAGATACCCGTGACACGGACTCTGATGATCCCCATACTGGCTGGTCCCGCTTCATGGTTCAGTTTGAACCTCATTTCTGGACGGAACGACAAACTGTGTTCACTGACAATAGTTTTAAGGGGTGATTTTGAGCTAATGCGGTGATTTCCACTACAGAGTCCTGTCTGTTTTTAATGCAGTGCTGCTTTAACCTCAGCAGTTGGGATGTTTTTATAACTTTCTCCGTGTTTTATTGTCAAATGTTTTCAATGCTGTTTTTGGCCTTTATTCAACATTTCCTCATGCAAATATTTTTCTACATTAATTCCAATCATTAGAGTTTCACTCTGACTTTAGTTTACTGGTATAAAATATTCACAGAGTGTATAAAATGATCTAGTTTTACATGATTTGTCCTCATTAGTCAGAATTGTTCAGTGGTCAGTGACGGTGCAGGGAGGAAATCACCACTGATGAAAAACGTCACATCATGACGACACCGCTTCTTTCTGCCTCATTCAACAGGAGACGATCTTTTCGTCACTTCCTGCGCCCTTGAATCACTGCCCCCTCTTCCTCTCTCTCTCTCTCTCTCTCTTTTCTTCTCCCTTTGTTGCTGTTTGTTGAATTGCTGAGTTGCCGTTCCTGCAGGAAGCGAGCATGCTGCAGACTGTGACCTGGTTTACTGTCATGTTGTGACTCAGGTCTGCAGAAGCATCACTGTAGCGTTTGTCCTGTGCTTTTTTATTTCAGCCCACATGCCCTGCTCTACGCTGACCTGACCTGGTTTGATTGACAGGTTGATGCTTATCAGACATGGGCGAGACTTCCTGCTTCAGACTCACGGCCTCCGAACACCTCAGGAAGTGTCTCAGTGAGCTTCCCCACCTGCAGATTATAGTAGATTATAGTAGATTATAGTAGATTACAGCGATAATAATAACTTTATCTAAATCGTACTTTTCAAAACAGAAATACAAAGTGCTTCACAACATAAAACAGGATAAAAACGGAGGAAGAACAATTTCCAAAAACAGTCACTCAATAGGAATGATTCAGAGTTCAATCAAAGATGAAACCCAAACCAAATTAAAATTATTATGACAACAATTATATAATAAATAAAATAAAATAAAATAAGTTAAGATCTGATCAAAAGTTAAGTACTAAAAGTGAAGTTAAAAGTCATGTTCAGTCAAAGCACACGAGTTTTAAACTTGCCGGTCTGATCTCCAGGTTCCACTGAGCAACAGACGCTATCAGACATCTAGTTATTTTTGGACCTAATTTCAACCGTCTTGTTCCTCAGCCTGGACTGAGGAATCATAAAAACGTGATTGAACTGATGGATTGACGAGCTTCTCCAGATTGAGCTTTTAAAACCATATGAGCCGACTCGCAGCCTCAGATCCTCTGGCGAAGGCCTCCTGGTCGTTCAAAAGTCGAGACTCAAAAGTAAAGGTGATCGATCTTTCTCCATCAGAGCTCCTCGACTTTGGAACGACCTGCCAGAGGAGATTAGGCGAACAGCAGAGACAGTCACTTTTTTAAGTCAAATTCAAAAACTCACTTTTACAGACTTGCTTTTACGTGATGCTGTCTTTTATCTTTTATCGTTTATCTGTCATCTTTTCTCTCTTTTACCTCTATCTTATTTCAGCTTTAGTTTCTTTTTAGCTTTTTTTAAACTTGTACTCTTTTCTTAATTAATCTTTTAGGCCTTTTATTGTTTTATCTCTTGCTCATTTCTGTTTCTCTATTTTATCATTAATATTATTATCTGTTTTACCTGTTAATATTTTATTATCGTTGTTGATATTGCCCTTTATAATTACTGTTTCCGCTTTAGTCCTCCCTTTTAATTGCATTTTCCTTTTTTCTGAACTATTTGATATTTTTATTTTGGTCTCATTTTATGTTGAATGGTTCTTGTATTGTCTGGGTTCCTTATGATATGAAAATGACCTTCAATTCTGTTTTTACTGAGCTTTTTGTTTTTATCTGTCTTTTTCGACTACAAGTCAAAGCACTTTGTAAACATCTGTTTTTTTTAAAGTGCTATAAAAATAAAGCTATTATTATTATTATTATTATCAGCATAAAAGTGAAAATCAAAGAACCACATGTCCAGGTCTATGATCCACACTGAAAAACAGGAGTGGTCCTAGAACTGACCCCTGAGGCACCCCACAAGACAAAAGATCACTGGATGACTGTGAGTTATCAACGACAACATGAGAAGATCTCACACTTAAATAAGAAAAAAACATTTAAAATCTGAACCAGAGACACCGACCCAGAGTTTAAAATGTTCAAGTAAAACAAAAAATAGTCAACAGTAGCAAATACTTGTCAGGGCAGCACATATAGATATTGAAATCTCCCATGGCGTAGACGACAGTAAAGCACACAGCAGCTCCTCTCCTCATGGTTTCAGCCCTCGCTCCCTCCTTCCAATATTTCTTCCCTGCTGACAGTCTGTGTGTTTGTCACGTTGGCTTCTGTTTGGCGCCGATCCCACTCTCCACCCTTAACTCACAGACGCTCAGTCGTCAGTCAGTCAGTGTGTGACTGTGTGCGACAGCGAGGGATTAAGACGGGATAAAATGAAAGATGGCTCATGCTGTAAAACCACGTCACCGTCACACGTCATCATTAAAAAAAAGGTTTGGACTCTAATTTGGATCCTGTGCTCAGGGATTATGTCTCTGCTGAAGTTTTCTAACTTCAGTATATTTTACAAAATCTCCATTTTATCACAAGCAGATTCAAACTGTTCACATTATGCAAAAACATCCGAAAAAAACAATATATCAACAAAACAAAAGATCACGTCTTTGTTGCTTCTGCCCAAAATCAGAAATGAGTCTTCTGACGACAAAGTAAAGCACTTCACTTGTGCTTTGACAGTAAATTTGAGTCTTATCTTTGCATCCCCAGATATGATGCTATAAAAGAATTAAGGTTTAACGTTTGGGCCCGGTCGTAGTAAAGTGCAGTTTTAGATGTTTACCGAAGGAAAGTTCTCGGACGATGATGACCTGCCTTTTCCACACAGGTGCCACCTCGGCATCCCGGCACGCTCTCCCCCTTCAAAATTTCTGACACACGTGGACAGAAAGGACAGAAAAGTTAGGTGTTCGAGGGAAAGGTGAAGTCATCCGTCATAAAAGAGGTTTACTTTCCCCGCCCACCACAATAAAGGAGGGTTACAATGATTCTGTTTCCTGCGCTGAGACAGGAGGCAGCTTGTTGTGGTTTTCAGACGTACGTGATCACGCTCAGATTTATTAATCAGAGGAGTGTGTGTGTGTGTGTGTGTGTGTGTGTGTCACCCCTGCTCAGTGAGGTGCGGTCTGTTTGATCAGGGAGGTGTTCGTCTCTCTGGAAACACCTTCACGATGAGGTGAACCTGAAGCTGCAGGTGGGGGTTTCTGATCTGACTGAAGGCTCCACTGTGGTCTGAGGCGACCGCAACGCTGCCTGACTGACGGGAGACGGGGAAACATCCACGATGGAGAACATGCAGGACTTTCTGCACTTTCACCAAAGATAGTCTAACACACTGATATCCCCCCTTGTTTAGTTAATTCAGTGACATTTTGGAGAGAGGACAGGAGGGCATGAAGCTCGTTGAGGCCCCCGGGGTTAGAATGTCAACTCGACCTCCTTCAAAGAGACAACGAGGTGAGAAGTCTGCAGAAAGATGTCCGAAAAAAGACACAGGAGGATGACCAGAGTTACAGATCTACTTGTGCTGCACACCCTACCTCCCCTTACTTTAATAACCAAAGAGCGGAGAGAGCGAACAGCGAGAAAAGTCTGCAGAACAATCGTAGAAAAAGGGCGGGGAAGGAGAAAAGTGAAGATGCAACTCTGAAATGTGACTTTTCTTCTTGTTCTACCAAACCTGAAATATTTAGAGTTCTGGTTTTGCACTTTTACGCTCTTTATGGATGATTTCATCCTCCTCGTGTTGCTGCACAGGCTGCAGATTTGTATAATACAGTCTGAGGTTCCTCACATTTCCTGTCTGTGTCTAAAAAACTGCTGACGACTCTGATGGTAATCAGCGCGACTCAGAATCCGGTGAATTATCTGATGAATCCTCGTTGTCTCACTTAAACCAGGTCAGACCAAAGCTGCTGACAGCTCTGATAGAAACCCTCACCATTTAAACCCCCAGACATCTGAAAACCACACACTTTACCTACAGTGTGGAGTCACAGAAAGGGGCGGAGCCACGCCACAGGGTGCTGTACTCTCTGAGATCCATATATGGAAACAGGAACCTGATGGCATTTTAAGCGTGCTATTTTCAAAGTTGCTTTGTGCTTTAAAAAAATTAATAACATAAAAAAAAAACAAGTGTTGTAAAAGAGATAACTAAATATAAAACAAGTACAGATTAATGTGTCTGTAAACAGGATTAACAAACTGAAAACACAGTAAGAGACCGATAGTGGAATTAAAATAAACTATTTAAAACAACAAAGTTCTTTGGACATCCTTTAACCTTCTGAGCTAAATGACCGTCAATTTCCACCACATCTGGAACGGCTACAAAAAGGCCGTATCCACCAATCGTAGCTGATCGTAACCATTCAAGTTAACGTGTCAATTTACACCGACTTCTTTCCGTTCCTCTGCGGATCGCCGGACTCCTCAGCTGATCACAAGAGTTCTATTTTTTCTGGACGCCGGAGCATGGCGGATAAATTCAGCACAGATTAACCCGTGCTGGAAAGGAAGTCGGGCACAGACACAAAATAAAACATCCGGCTTCTTTTCAAAATAAAACATCTGGCTTCTTTTCAAAACAAAACGCTCCGTGTTTCAGGAGGATCGTATTTCACACCATGCAAACGGGCGGAGACGAACAAGTGAAAGGTTTTTAGACGTCATTTCACCCCGATGACACCATGGATGAGGAGATGCTGATTCTAGAAGTTTAGAAGTAGATTTCCTCCTCTGGAAGGACACAATCTACTGCTTATATGGTTAGCCTCTGTGGCTAAGAGACAACTTGTTATCACGTGATAGCACATGAATCCACGGGTTCTCGTGATTCCCGCTGTCTGTATCCGCCTTGAAATTCCGCTCGCAAACAGATCTGGTAGGAAGTGGCATACAGCAATAATCGCCGCCGTTCCAGATAAGAGCCGTTCCGGATGCGGTGGAAATCCCTGGTAAGCCTTTATGCAGATGATACACCGGTATTTCTTGCAGTCAGCAATCAGTTACTTTCTGCTGACACCTGTGAAGACTGTTTTATTAAATTAACTTTTAACGCTCTATTATATTTTTATCGTGGTTTTATCGCTTTAGTCCTACGTTTAGTGTTTCCTCATTTTTTTACTCACGATAGCGTTTCCTCAGTCATCTGTGGTCACTTGTGTGTTCATTGGTGTGTGTGTGAGCATGTGAGTGCTGTAGGTGTTGAATGGGGTTTGGAGTTCATTTTTATTTCTATCATTTTATTTTATTGTTTTTAATATCCTGCTCGTATGGACAGCACTTTGTGCTTTATGCTGTTTATGAAAAGTGCTTCACAAATAAAGTTTGATTGATTGACCTGTGAGGGAATTGAAGGATATGTCATGATATACGAGTAAATCATATATGATGCATTATCAGTTGGAAATATCTTACTCAACTTTTGCATCACTACTCTAAAACCTTTACCATCTTAAAAACCCGAAAAAAAAGTAGGTCTGAATGAGAAGAATTGTTGACTCAGAGCAGTTTTTCATAGGTTTCTGTTGTTTCGTTATCTGTTTGTCAGAGATCTTATCAGTCTTATCATTCCATCTCACAAACCTGTAGAAGACAGACTGCGGACAGACTGCAGAGATACCAGGAATGCCCCCGCAGTTTTCAGTCTGTTTATCAGCGCAGAGATCTGCTGCCATCAGATCTGAGGGCCGCCGATCTCCATAAAGGCACGTGAACGCAGCGGCAATCAAACCAAGACGGAGGACAGACGAGCGCTGAAATGAAGCCGAGACCGAGCATCTGCACTCTGCTGGTGAGGATTAACTTTATCGACACGTACGCTAACGACACACCGATCTGTGAGGATCTGTGAGGGTCGGTTCGGCTAAGAAAACTACAAACGCTAAAACTTAGACGCAGTGAAGTGTTGATTCGGTTGAATAATCAGGTTGAATATCATCTTGGAAAGATTAGATTCAATCAAAAGTCAAATCTAGCGTGACTAAAAATGTGCGATGGCGCTGACTTACAGCTGCGGCTATCTGGACTAGCTAGCGGCTAAGTTCGTTCAGATACACATACAACTTGGAATTTCTTAATTGTGTGTTATTTTGTCAACTATTATCCAAAGTACTCCTCTAGTTTTGATGGTGATGATTTAACAACCTCCTAACAGCCTCTCCTTTTCACAGGTATGTTGCAGTGTATTGTGGGTACTTTCCTGCTCCTCCTTAAGGGTTAGAGCTCATCCGTCTCCACCTCCTCCTTCTTCGTCGCCGACCATTTGTGACGCCAGGCTCGAAATCCCCTCAGTTTTCCCCTCCTCGTTTGAAGGGAGCGGGGACGTCAACAACAGATCTCTGTCTCCGTGGACCTGGAGGTCAGTCTCACATTATCAATCCTTAAAACGAAACTCTGAAAACTCTGGGTTTTTCTCAGAATTTTGACCTTTTCATCAAATTAATGACTTTTTATGAAAAACTCAAGAGTCATAATTTGTTCTGTTGATTTCGTTTTTCCCTGGTTTTATTATCTTAGTGTATTTTCTGTGTTTTTCCTGTTGTTCCTGTGATCTTGTATTGTGAGTTTTCAGTTTATGTTTGTCCCTGTTTCCCTCCTGTTCTCTGTGTTTTATTCTTCAGATCAGTTTTCAGTGTTTGTTTCCTGTTTTATTTTGTAGGAGTTGATTCCTTGTGTTTCTACTTCCCTAGTTTTCCCTCCTTTGTTAATCACCCATGAGTCTCACCTGTGTCTCGTCTGTTTCACCTGTTGCTCGTTGTTTCCCAGTGTGTTTATTTAGTCCCTGTCTTCCCCTCTGTCTTTGTTGGTTCATTGTTTGTCGATGTGTGTCTTTGCCTGTGTTTTTGCCTTTTGTTGCTTTTTTCATTTAGCTCTTTTAATTAAATCAAATCAATCAATCAACCTTTATTTATGTAGCGCCCATTCACAACACTTGTTAACACAAGACGTTTGAACCCTTTGTTCTGCATTTGGGTCCTTTATTTTTGTGTCACCCTGCGCATCGTGACACTCGGACTTTCTTCTCAGAATTCTGACTTTTCATTTTGAACCGTGACTCGTTTCAGAAACCCGACTCTTTTCTCAAAATCTGTTTTTTTTCCCAGAATTTTCATTTTCCAGAAATTTGATCGTATAAAGAAAACAGTTATTTACTGTAAACATGAAAAAATATATATTTATATATCCATCGATGAGAGTTTTCATCTACTCCTACAGAGGGGAAGGGTGAAAAATCACAGAAAGTTCTTTCTTTGACTTCTGGCTTCCTGTCACATATTTATTTCTTTTTCATGAAATTCAGACTTTTTACTTCTACAGTTCTGATTATTTTTTCACAGAATACTAACTCTGTTACAGGATTCTGACTTAATTCTCATAATATTGACTTTAATCTCTGAAATCTGACGTTAACCTTGTAATATAAGACTATAACTATAACTATAACTATAACTACTATAACTATAACTATATAAGACTTCTGATAAGATTCTGACCGCTCTTATTTTGTTGTCTGTGGTGGTATTCGTCTCAAACCCGTGACTTTGCTGTCGTCCCTCCAGGACATCCATGGTGAAGAATCGTATACCCACGATCTATGAGGCTGAGTGCAGCAGCAGCTTCTGCGTCAGTCCAAAATCAGGACGGATAGATGGACACAACCTGAACTCAGTCCCCATCTATCAGGACATCCTGGTCCTGCAACGGCAAGGCAGCGGGCGCTGTTACAAGGCGATGTACCAGCGCGTCGCTGTGGGCTGTACCTGCGTTTGGGCCAAGACTAACCAACAGTGAACCTGAACCATGGGACATTTTAACAATGTGAAAGTTTTTGTACAACACTTCAATGTTGAATTAAAGCTACTGTGAGAAACTTTCTGGTTGAGCTCATTTTGGTGCCCCCTTGTGGTCAAGGTGACTTATTTGAATGGCCTAAACTGGCACTGGTACTGATCAGCACACCACCGGTCAACATCCTGCAGACAGTCGGCCTACAGGGTGGAGGCCCTTTGGGAGTTAGGGTTCCCCTAGTGCTCCTCTCCAGGTGAGGTGGCTCCTCGCAGCCTGATGCTACAGGACAGAAACATAAGTGCGAAATTAAATTTCTGAGTTTTTCGTCATCCAAATCGATGTGAATCTCTGGCAGACCCAAACAGCGGGATCAGATTCAGTGAGATCTCTTACATCACAAATCCAAGCTCCGCCTCCGGAGCCCCCAGCAATGTTAGGCTACGAGCTAGCATCAAGAGTAGTACGCAGAGCAAATTGCTAATGAGCTACTGGAGCTCTGCAGGAGAAAAGCCCTTAAAAAAAGACACAGGTAACGTGATTTTAGATAAAAATTTAACTCGAAGACTAAAGAAAATATTATTAAAAAATAAGTACGGTTCATTTTAGAGCCCAAATTGTGGCCTGTTGGTTTGTGTGATCTTCTTCATTTCTGTTCATATGACACACACACTGGGGGGATACGACTTCTGCCAACTCAGGCTCTCAATAACTGCCATGAAACCACCTTCAACCCCCCATCAGTAAATTCAGTCAGTAAGAATAAAAGGAAACTAAAAACTGCAGTCAGAAATACATCCAATTTAACGTGGTAATCAGAGTTTTTACCATTTTTACTGCACTCAGGGTGTGTATTATTGTGTGTGTGTGTGTGTGTGTGTGTGTGTGTGTGTGTGTGTGTGTGTGTGTGTGTGTGTGTCAGCAGTGTGTTGAGTCTCATGACGGCTGAAATCCTCCACTGAGAAAAACTCATTCAGCACTGAAATCATCAGGAATTAGCAATAAACAAGAGCACATTGTGGGGATTAGATGTGTGTGTGTGTGTGTGTGTGTGTGTGTGTGTGTGTGTGTGTGTGTGTGTGTGTGTGTGTGTGTGTGTGTCACAGTGCATGTGACCATGTGGTCTGAGCAGTGTGCAGGTCCGGCTCTCTCTCAGGCTCACACACACTGGACAGATTTTGATTTGATAGACGTGAATTAAAAAATGTTTTGTGTTTTAATGAGGAGGAAGTTAACATCCTGGACTTAACGAGGGACTCAGGTAGGTGGACTGATTTGACCTCTGACCTCTAGTGCAGTTTGTTATTATTTGGATATTTCTGTTTCATACAGAGGTTTATTTTGTTTTGCTGATCCTCTCAAAGTTCACTTTTTAATTCCTGAATTTTTTACTCTTAAAGCTGAAGCTGTTTGTGGAGGACTTTAACGTATTAATGCAGAATTTGTTCCTCAGTATTCTGTGAGTTTTCGCTGCAAAGATGGTTTTTTTGAATGGGTGTGTATGTGGCTGTACGTGCTTCCAAACAGCCTCAAGTGGACACTGAAGGAACTGCAGTTTCAGTACATCTACGGCAGCTTCATATCCTAAGTCTGAAGTCCATCTCCCATCATGCCTCTGGTGTCATTCGTTCCTCCTTCACTCTGCCTCGCCTTCTTCTCCCTGCTGGACCGCCTCCTCCCCTCCCTCCCCCCCACCGTCCGAGACGTGGACGTCCCCTCTCTGTTCAGAGAGCGCTTCATCTTATCCGGGTACCGCCCTGTGGGTCTGTCATGGCGCTCTTACGTCCTCAGCCTCTTCCAGATCCACAACGAGACTCTGAACGCGTGGAGCCACCTGCTGGCTGCTGTCTGCGTGGTGATGAGGTTCACGGTCTTCACTGTCCTGCGGGGAGGGGTACGACAACAACTCCATATTAAAAGTCTAAATGTGTGTTTGACCTCCCGCTGTCTAACATCTGACCTCTTCAGGGGTTTCTAGGTTTTCGGCTGCAGGGTCCTGAAGGTCAGGGCTTCTCTGTGGACGTCTCCTCACTCCCTCTGGTCCTCTATGTCTTCTCTGCTGTTGCGTACCTGAGCTGCAGGTGAGTCCAAACAGGATCTCCACTTCATCACTTTGCTTCAGTTTGGAAACTCTAACCGAGTTTGGCGTTGCAGCGCCGTCGCTCACTTGTTGCAGTCGCGCTCAGAAGAGGCTCATTACTCGCTCTTCTTCCTGGACTATGTGGGCGTGGCTGTGTACCAGTACGGCTGCGCTCTGGCTCTGTCCCTGTACAGCTCTGACATCACCTGGACACAAAGCATGCTGGGACAGGTGTGTTGTTGTGGGTTTCATTTGTCCTCAGAGACGTCGTTCAGTTGAAGTAAAAATACACGTTTATTTTTCTCTGCAGGTTTTCCTCCCTGCGGCGGCGTTCCTCGCCTGGTTGTCTTGCGCCGCCTGCTGTTACGCGAAGCTTCGTTTCCGGCGGCCTTACCCGCTTTACAGGAAGCTCCTCCAGGTGGCGCCTTTGAGCGTGGCCTACCTGCTGGACATGAGTCCTGTTGCGCAGCGTCTCATCTATAACAGGTGGACGAGTAACCCTGCGCTGCAGCTGCACTTCCTGCAGGTGGTGACCCTGAATCTCTCGTAAAACTGCGTCTTTTGTTTTTTTGTTTTGACTCTAATTAAATAAATCAAACCGTCTTCTCTGTCACGTCTCCAACAGGTGGTGCTGTTCCTTCTCTCCGCCTTTTTCTTCTCCTGTCCCGTACCTGAGCGCTTCTACCCGGGCTACTTCGACATCGTCGGTCACAGCCACCAGCTCTTCCACGTCCTGCTGTCTCTCTGCACGTTCGTCCAGCAGGAGGCGCTGTTCGAGGACTTTCTGAGGAGGCGGCCCGCGCTGGTCAGACACTTCGGGGAGGAGCGCCTCCTGCTGGCGTGCGTCTCCTTCCCCTGCCTGACGCTGTGCTGCACGATGACGGCGCTGGCTATGAGGAGGCGGGCTCAGGCTCAGCTGACGAAGGAGCAAAGATAGAAGAAGAAACAGGAGACCTTTTAGCTTCTCAGGACAAACTTTTATGATGTTTATTTATATATTTATGATCATTCAGATTCTCTAATGTTTGTTTGTTTTTTGTTTGTACATCTAAATCAGCTAAACTTTAACTGAACTGGAGAGCAGATTAAACCGTTTCTAAACATTTTAATCTTTAAATTCATGCGTTTTCAAGTCCTTCACTCATGCAACAGTCGACATTTTAATGACAGAAATGTTGTTTAAGATTCAAAACATCAACTTTTCAATGACTGGACCTCCTACAGGTTTATCTGTTATCTCACTGTGGAGCCTAAAGTCTGTGTTCACGGGTTGTTTAAATATGTTTAATGTCAATGCATTTAAAAAAAAACTGCTGCCTTTACATCTCAAACTAATTTTTTAGTCATCTGTTCTTCAAATTTAACTAATTCAGGGTTCATTAATGCAGTTTTCACCCAGTACCACAATGACCATAATAGAAATTTCCGTATCTTTCAGGACCCACAGAATCTCAGAATTAAGTTCAGTATCTCAAAAGAAAGGAGTGACTCTCTTCTTTCACCAAAAAAAAAAAAAATGATGTGAAAATCCGGTACCAGGATCTCCACTGGATCCAGGGACGGTAACACCGAGCCCAGGGGGAGCTAAGACTGTTAGCTCTTGGCTAATGACTTCGGCATTTTCCGACTCTCCTCAAAGAGAAAAAACACTCCACAACTCGGCTAATTGACACACTTGATGGTGGACTTCTCACTGGCGAGTACTTGTTTTTGTTATCGTAACATGGTTATGAGGTATTTGTCGGCTTTTCTGCTTTCAGAACGATCACAAACTCATGCTGCGCTCAAGCTACCTCGGAAGTCAGAAATAACTTTCGTAGATGTAGCCGTCTTGTTTCCACCTCCGATTTTGCTTTTTTCCAACTTGGTGACTGAAACGCTGGTAACTCGGGCGTGACGTCATTTTCAGCTCCAACATCTGACTTCCGAAGTAACTCTAACGTCGCGTTTGTCACATGTTGGGGCGCCCTCTGGTGGAAAACAAAAAAAAGGAAAATCTGTTAAAATCTGTCAGTGGCACTGAATGAGTTAAAAATGCACCTGAGGCTTTGACAGTGAGACGATCTGCAGACCTCAAATGTTTAGTCCAGGATAGAGACTTTAGGATTGAATGATTCAGATCTCACTGTTATAAACAGTTCTGTGCACGTGGTTGGAAATAACATGGAGCAATGCATGGGTGTAGGTGTCTCCGGCTGATTCCAGTGTATGAACAGTTTCCCATGAATGCAGCTATAAACCAACTTTGGTTATATTTGACTGTTTATACAATTAGATGGATAATTTAAAACTAACAAAAACTCAAATAAAAGTTGTTTTCTTGATGTTTCTGTTTCCACCTTGACTCTGTTTTTGGGCGGAGACAGAAATCCGGGAGTAAAGATCTGAAAACATCTGCGGATGAAACTGAAACTATTTTAACGATAAAACAAAAAGAGTCTTTTCGATAGTAAACAGTGACCTCTCAACCTGTGCGGTGAATGTTGTTATCTCCCCGCCACAGTTCCTCGCAGGCCTCGCTCTGCCAGCCAAGCAGTAAGTGTCTGTTGCAGTGTTTGGGTGGAGCTCCTGATAAATGTTCCACTGTCGGTTTGATTTGACGAGATTAACGAGATTATCAGTTACCGCTCAGTTTTTAAAAACTCTATTCTTTATTATTCATTAAGCTATAACAGACTTTGAGCTCTTTATTCCTCACTAAAGTGGAGAAAAAACGTCAAAAACAGAAGTGATCACGTCTTTGAGTTTGGGTACGATTGACACATTTTGTCAATCAAGGTGTAGCTGTTTACCTGGCATCAAAGACGGGGCAGATCAGGTTTAATATTGACTGAAATGGAGGCTCATGCAGACTCTGAAGTCAAATAAAAAGGAGTTCATGTTAAATTCAGTTTCTGCCTGTTGTGATTCCTCACAGTTCCTCCTTCTCTGCAGGTGTTTTCTTCTCAGAGATGAAGCTCATATCTGTGGTCTCCTTTGAGGAGGACAGCAGAGAACTGGTGGACCGTGTCTCTGTTGTCTCCCTTCATTAGTCTCATACTTGAGCGGCTCATAAACAGGGTGTGTGTCTTTAAGCAGCTCAAACAGCGGAGCCTTCTCTCTGTTTGTTCAGCCTGTCAATGAGTAAACCTTCACCAGGAAGAGCTCCTCACATACATCAGTCGGACCTGGGCTCACAGCTGTGCGATACATGGACACAGGTAGGCTCCCCATGTTTTATTCTAACACTTTAACACCTTAACTTTGTTGTTTTTTTGTCCTTTTGTTGATTCAGAGGTTCAGAGTTGTCCACCTGTCATGTTGCTGCAGTTTGAAACTTTTGCATGTAAATATTATCTTTAATTTATAATCTGGGTAATCGACATAACAGATTATCTACATGACAGAACTGCTGACGAGTTAGAAATGTTTAGAAATTTTGTGACTGAAAATTAAAGGGATGATATTCAGACCTTCAAACGTTCATATTTGACGGAGGTGAGCGTGCTACCTGAGCTGGCCTCTGACCCAAAGTGTTGTAGAAGTACTTCAGATGAACACGTACAGGACAAATACATATATTAATTAATTCTGAGATATTTTTAGTGAATTTTCAGACACAACATGAGAGAAAAGTCCTACCAGCAAAATTTTGCATTTGTTAGAGTCACATGGGTCAAATCGACAATCATGCTGTTATATCCCGCTGTTATGACAGGCGTGAGATTTTCAGGAAGTAGAAAAATATATATATTTATTTTTTTATAGCGTATATATGAAACAGGAGTTGGTTATATCCTGTTCCAGTAGCTTTTAGTCCTCCCCCAAAAATTGGATTTGGACACGGTGTCTCACATCGGGGTGTTGTTTTGACAGCAGCCGTCTTGTATTTTTGGGGGTGATGACTTGTGACCATATTTGGACAAAAGGGCGGAGCTAAGGGGCAAGAAAAGTGATACTTCTTTTTAGCAAGTGGCATCCAAATTTTGCCAACTTTACGGCAGCTTTGGATGTTGAAAATAAAAGCATTTTAGAAGTGCTGTAAACTGCAGTTCCTCATGTGTCCACTTGGGGCTGGCTGAAAAACCCTGAGAGATCTCTTCAACACCTGCGTTAAAACTTGAATCTTTACAGCAGAATTTTACAGGTTTACAGCCTTGTGCAAAATAAGAGTTTTGGTCTGAGAAGTCCGTTTTTCTTCCGTGTTTCATATCGAAGTTTGAAGACGAACATGTTCTGCACAATTTAGGGCGTGGCGAACAAAAACATGGGGAGCATTTTTAGAGTCGACCTCTTGGAAGTTTCTTTTGAGGAGATTTCTGCTAGTTCTGGATCTACGCTGCTAAACGGGCTTTTATCTACTACATTGTGCATCTTCAGCTGACTTTTTTTTATTATTATTATAAAACAAATTTCTGATAGATCAGTAAAGATGCTCTCAAATCAATAAGTCAGAGGATAAACAAATGTGGGGACGTGTGTGCGGCCATCTTGGATTAACAGTTAACAGTTGAACTTCCCTCATCATGTCTCCAGATTAGGATCCTGCCATAACTCTGTAAAGCTCCACCACCTGGATGTAAACAAGCACAGATGACAGACGGTTTCTCATAGATGAAGTAATATTAGTGTATGTTAACCTCTCAGTCAGAGCAATAAGTAACCAGCACATGCATGTGGACACTATCCCGCTAGGAGGACCGAGGGCTGGTGGTGTTAGCTCTGCTAATGTTAGCCGCTCATGCTTATCAATTTACCTTCAGACTGTTTTTCTGGATGTTTCCTGACCTTCACATCAGCTGATTAGTCGGTAGGTCACTTCGGGACATGTAGGGTGACCAAACGTCCTCTTTTGATCAGACATGTCCTCTTGTTGGGGGGCTGTTCGGCTTTGTCCAGGGAAGTTTATTAAATCCTTCAAATGTCCAAGGTTTTGTATGGAAGTTTTGAGTTTGTGTCGCGTGAACTTACTGAGATAGAAGTGTGTAAAAAACCTGAAAAACTCTCAAAATTATCTCCGACCCGCGTAGTCATGTCCTCTTTTTAGGGATCCAGAATATGGTCACCCTAAGGACATCCCTCTTTATTTAGACTTGATCGAGGACACATAAATCATTCACTGTCACAAAAGTCTTTTCTGCTCTTGTTGTTTTAAGTGTTTATAAATGTTTTTATATTCCATCTGGCTATGATAACAGACCTTGGTATTTGTTGTTTTTGAACTTGTGCGCACTTTCCAACAACCCACCAGGTAAAACTTTGCTCACAACCCTTTTTCTGGAGTTTAGTAAATTTCTCTCTTAGACAATATTTCAGTCTTTTTCCGAGGTGTTTTGGATCCCAGAATGACCTCCATCCCGACCAATCGTACCCCCCGAAATTTAAAATCAATGATCACTCCTCCGATACCGAGAAATCCCTCAAGGACACACCTTGTCCATGTGGTTGTGAGTCTGAGGAGCCTCATGTTTGCTCTGCTGGTCTTGTGTTTGTTTGACAGGAGGCAGTCGGGATGATTAAACTGCTGCTGCTTCAAATCTTGCTGAGCTGGAACTGAAGGAACAAGGTAAACATCTCCAACATCTTGTTTGTCGAAGAGGAACTGACATCATCCGACGCATGAGCAGCTTTCAGCTTCGTCACTGTTCCCCCGGAGTTACATCTATTTATTTTGATGCTCTAAAAGGTTTTTAGGACCCTGGATAAGAGCGTTTGTTGAAGATGAACGCCTCGTTCTCGTGTGTTCGTTATCATTTACATAATTGTAGATATTTGCATGATTCTCCATCAAAGAGGCAGAAACAGGCATGAACTTCCAGGTGTCACCGACCCTATGAAAGACAAATAAAAACGGCTGCTTGTTTAAACTCTACGTATGATCCACTAAAATGCAAATGCAGTTTGAAACACACTCAGCTGTTTTGTTAAGGATATGATTTTGTTTTTTTTCAAGTATTCTTTAATTCCTCTACATTTAGCAGCAGCAGACTGTCAGAAAATCTAAATTAATTCAGTTTCAGAGGTTTTTTTTTTTTTGTCCTGTAATCAGAAACGAGGCGAGACTTAAAATATTCCTGAACCAGGAAGTGATCGGAGCGCTCTGGTGTTAAAGGGTAATTACGGTGTTTTTTAAAGTTGTATTGCACACTTATCTGTCAGTCAATCAGCCCGGCCCAAAACAAATTTACACACAGCTGGTGTTGTCGATGTAAAACAGTCATAAATAAAAACCGTGGCCATCACCAGAAGAAGACTTAGATGAGACAAAGATAAGTTCATGATATTTAGTCAGGAGTGATGGGAAGATCAGTTCTGTTGACTGTACTGAATCTTTAGAATCCGTTCATTAAAATGATTCATTCAAAAGATTCGTTCACTGAATCAGTCGGTGCTTCGGAGCCCCGTCGTGACGGGTGCATGATACGGGTGAGCGACACAGCGGCGCTGATCAGGAGTTCGTTCATTGAAGTCGTGAATAAAGAATCAGTCCGCTGCCCTGAAAAACTCACCTCTCTGTGTGCCGCCGACATTCGCATTGCGAGTGATGCAACACAGCAGCAAAACACAAACAGACTTTCACTCTGACTGAACTGCTTTGCTACTTTGCAGGATTCGAACCTTCAACAGGGTCATTAATCCTCAGATGGTGGTCCCTCACTTTAGGGTCCTTCTCCATCAGTGTGAAGTTCTGAGTCGAGGTTTTAGTGATCTATCTGAGTCCCTTTTCTGTTCCTGGTCTACATTCAGACCTTTAATCAGGTTTCAGGATCTCATGAAGATCGTTCACATTCCAGATAAATTAATAAGTGATTTAAAAAGTGTGACCCCTCCCTCATATCTCTCTCAGGTGTGTTTGTTCATGGTTGTATAAGTCGACCACACCATCAGTAAATGTAGACTGAGTCACAGTCTCCAGATGATGATGAGTCCACAGCGGGGTTGTCCTCTTGCTAACATCTCTGATCTCTGTCTCCTTCAGTCATCATGGCTGCAGTCGGAGCAGAGGTCACCGGGTCACCGCTCTTCCTCTCCGCAGGAGTCGTCAGTTTCTTCATCCTCCTCCTCCTCCTCTCCATCTTCCTCACCGCTCTCTGCAGCGACTGCGGCAGGTCAGCTGCTTCATCAAACATCAACTGTGTTTGGTTTTTAAATCAGTGATCGAACAGAGCTTCATTAGAGAGTCAGAGAGTGTGTCAGTACCTTTTTATCACAGCAGAGGGCGCTGTGAGCCTTTAACCTCTCATGTTGACTGTCATTAAGTCTGTATCTGAGGCTTACAGACAGGTGAGGATTTTGCAGTTAGTGTTTCCCACACTAGAGGATACCTGGGCTGCCTGACTTAACCTCCAAACAAAGCAGTAAAGACGCCTCGTGTCCCCCTGAGGAGTTTCCTCCAGCTGCATGAAAAAGTGTTTTTCAGGTTGTTTCTGAATAACGTCACTCAGTTTGTTTGTTTGTTTTTTAGACGTTCGTTTGAGCTGCGAGAGCCTGAGGACACAAACCCTTCAACCCTGATACGAGTGGTGAGAGACCGTCTTTAAGTCTGGAGATGTTTTTCTCTAACAGTCACAGCTCTGACAGGACTGGATTAAACTTCTGTTGTGTTTGCTGACAGGTGAAGCTGGAGGAAGCCATGGTGGCGAGGGAGAATCCGATGATCAGTGAGATTCAGAACGATGAAAAAGGTGAGGGACGTCTGCAGGTTTACACATGAATATTTAAAGTTCCTAACTTCCTTAATCCTGGGGCTGACACGGTGGAAAAAATCCTCCTTTTTTCTGATGCCTGATGAGGAATTTTATGTCAAGAGGAGCTTCTGTGAATATTTCCAGAAAATTTAAAAGTTTGTCCTGAAATTTTCTGGAAATTTCCAGAAGTGTAAAAAGCTTCTTTATTACCCTTTATCTTTTTCTTTTTTTTTGTTTAATTCTTGTATCACTTTAGCCGTTCCCTTCCTCTGGCTTACTCCTGTACTTTTATTTTTCACTTACAATTTTACTTTTCTTCATGTTTTTAGTTCTTATTTCTTCTCTTTTACTTTCTTTTCTAAACTTCAGTCCTCTTGGTCTCAGGTTGTTGTGGTTGGGTTCCTGTGTTCGCCGGGTATCACAGGTTCTTATGATGTCTTTGTTTTAATGACGTCTCAGCTCATGTGACACTTATCAAAGCTTTTATATCTTCCAACAACTTTAATTTTATTTCATTTTCTCATTTTAATTTGTTTTTTCATTTTATTTTTTTATTTTATTTTATTTTTATTTAATTTTGTTTAATGTAATTTCTATTAATTTTATTTTAATTTTGTTTAATTAAATTTCTATTAATTTTATTTTATTCTATTTTATTTCATTTCAATTTAATTTAATTTAATTTAATTTATTTTTATTTTATAAATTATTTTATTTTTATTTCATTATTTTATTTTATTAGGATATGTAGTCTTGGTTTTAGTCTTGTCTTGGCTCTTTTTGTTTTTCTGTTGTTTTTTCTTTCTTTGTTTTTTTTTATCTCTTTTGTTTAAACTCTTGTTTTTAAAAGTGCTTTATAAATTAAGTTATTATTTTTTTTATTATTATTATATGTGCGTGTTTGTGTGTGTTTTTTTATCAGAATTCAAACCTGCAGAGAAAGTGCCCACAGTGTCTACAGTGTCCTTCAATGCATTGAGGAGCCACATGGGGGCGCCACAGAGCCACCAGGGTCAGTCTGCAGGAGTTACACACAGATATGTTGTGTGATTTAGTTGTATGTGTGGAGCATCATGTGCAGGTCAATTTCTTCTGTTTCTTTTCACCAATGTGTTAAAATATTTTGCTCCTCTTTAACCAACGAAACTGAGGATGAAACCCGAGCAGGTGGAGAAGGTTGGAGCAGGTTCGACTGATCCATGTGTGTTTGTACATGTGTGTGTCTGTCCTCAGATATTCAGACCAACGGAGGCGCTGTGATAATGACGGCAACGACTGACTGTGAAACTTCAGGAGGTAACTCAGTTTTCATCTTTGACTGCTGGTTTATTAAATAAACTATAAAAGCTTATTATAAATAAATGAACTGGGCCAATAAGACTGAGGTTTGTCAGAAAGCAAGTTATAACAAAGTCATGTATGATGTTTGTGGTTAAAAGACTTTTTATTCAGGCTCTTTTTCACAATAGGGTCACTTTATAACAGCAGCTATACAGTCAGAGTCAGAATATGACAGATGTGTAAAAAACATCCATATATACAGTATATTTAAGTGGAAAAACAAACAAATTTCAGTCAAATAAAACAAAAATATTAAATGTGCATGAATTTAAAGTGTGCAAAGGTTTTGGTTCTAAAGTGCAGAAACGCCAAATCTGTTTTTTTATGTTTCTCTGTCTGTTTTAGATCCAAACCCTGATGAGGAAATCATGGTAGACTTCACTCCCTGGAGGAGCCACCTGAGGGCGCCACACAGCCACGGTCTGAATTCAATCATTTAAAAGATAAATCATTTAAAAATTGTCTAGAAATGATCGCATTTATCCAAGACAAACTGTGAGTGAATCAAAAGACAAACAGACCAAAAAGTTATTAAATCCTTTTTGTTTTTCCAAGTTTAAAATGTCCTAAAAATTCATTTATTCCAGGAGAATAAATATAGTGTTATTAAGATATTGGTGAAGCTTTTATTTTGGTAAGTTTTAGATCCTTTAAGGAGTTTTTTTTGTGCTTTTATTGAAGAGGATAGGATGATAGATGGAGCTGGAAACTGGGAGAAGGAGTTTAATTTATCGTCATTAATCAAACTCTTTGTTTTCAGACGTGAACAACTTCACCTCTGCTAACTCCGCCAACATCTACAACAACGGCAGAGTAGCGTCTTCGCCATCGACCAATCACCAGTCAGAGTTCGAGCTCGACGACGCCCTCGCTGCGGCGGAGGATGACTGGAACGTTGACATTAAATCAGTTTACGCACGAATCAGCAAGCCGGGGAGGATGACCACGCCCACTGAACACACACCTAAGGAGGTACAGGTGACGGAGATAAGGGGGGAGGAGTCATCGCCACCTCTGCAGGAGAGGAGGTTAACCACAGAGGGATAACGGTGAAGGACAAAGTGTGAAAGACTGAGAACGAAGGAGAGAGAAGGAGGATAAACTACGATAATAATCCACAAACTAGATTTCCAATGATGATGTAACAAACTCCAGATCTATTTCCTCTATTTCTAAGAAGCTGCTCCTGCAAATATCTTCAAAATCAGCTGATCGAGTTCAAATCAAAGCAGTCTCTATTTAGTCGGCCTTAAATTTATTTTTACAGTATTTATACTTTTATATCACGGACATGAGATCGGGATTACTGAGCGACTGTTTCTGACAAATCTGAACTTTAGCCTCTTTTTGTTTAAAATTTTTGATTAAATAAAGTTTACGTGACAAAAGTGACGACGTCTACGTCTCCAAGTGTACAGATGAATTCAGAGTTTGTCGATCTGATTTTACTCATTGGTACATGTGATTGTTTACCACGTCAGTCTTTGGTTTCCAGCTCATAAAACTCAACCTGAGGGGTGTTACTTTTTACACAGCTGTACGTTTTAATGAAACACGCAGCTTTTGGTTCTGAGCTTCATGAAGGTCTTTAGAGAAGAAACGGCTCCAGGGGCCTGTTCTACAAAGCAAGTTCGACCCAGCGCTCGACTTAGCGCGGTAGCCAGCGGTCTCGCTAAACGGTCTTACGACGCTGGTTATCAACCTCGTAAGTGGATCCAGCTTTGCTATGAGCGGAGCCTGCCGCATCTGACCAATCGCGAACATGGACCAGTCCGGAGCGTCAGAGCAGGCCGGAGAGCGAAGGTACGCGGACTTTACAAACGCTGACCAGGAGACGATCATGAGAGAGTATGAAGAATCTAAATCTATCATAAACCTCAAAAGCAACACCGTCGCCGCTGCAAAAGCAAAAGGAGAAAATTACCGACAGTCTCAACGCGGAAGTATAGTGCGCAAAAAATCTTTGATGCCATTATCACGGATCCTGAAAACTCTCGCGCGCCGGAGTGCTCCGCCTCGGACAATGCGAGCACCGAGGTCTACAGGATCCTCCAAGAACAGACAAGCTATTTTTCGAGAGAGCTCATTGGTCAGTGGGCGGGGTTTTAATACTCGGTGAGTTTAATCTGGAAGCTAACCTGCCCCGGAGCAGGTTAGCCGTTCAGCGTACGTTGCCATGGAGACTCACCTCGCTAAAAAGTGAACCCGCGTCGTAGAACAGGAAACCCCGAACTTACCCTCGAAGTTTCCTCGCTAAGCAGTGATCCTGCTTCGTAGAACAGGCTCCTGGTTTCAGTACCAGCTGAGACTCAAATCCAGATCATACTGGTCTTTGTTTACAAGAGAGTTATCAGTGAAGTGGCGAGGATACACAGCCGCGACGTGACCTTTAAACACAAAAATGAGACGCTTTTTTCAGGCTTTTTTCTTTTCAAGTAAACGTCATAGCAACAGGTCTTGAAATAAGCGAAGTAACTTGGAGTAAGAAAATATTCAAGTCTTATTTTTGGCGCGAAACACATCCTACGGTTTAGGACACCCTGTGAAAAAAAAGATAAGAAAGTCTGTTTGTGGTCGGTGCAAAGAACATCCTGAACCGTGAGGGTTTCAAGATAATAACAGAGTCCAAAACATGAACAAGTCCGCGCCCACACCACCTGATGAGACGACCCACAGGTGTGTTTTCTTAATGACTGCCTCTATAATGACAGCCAACAAGTCCTCGTTCTCCTGACGTCACGCTCACAGTGGGAAACTTGTAAATGGAAATCATGCATCATTACGGCGTTCCAGGTCAGAGGTCGGATAAACCGCAATAATCTGACACACAGACTGAAGACAGAGGTGATCAGAGAGAGAGAGAGCGACTCGTGTTGTAAGTGAAAAAAAGAGGAACTAAAGAAGTGAGGAAGTGAAGACGAGTAATCATGAGTTTAAAATGAGGACACAGTGGAGGTCAAACACTTGGAAAGCAGCTAAAAAAGGAATAAAATTAAAGAATCACATAAAATAAAGTTTAAAGTAAAAATATTAAAGAAATATCAAATAAAATTGAAGGTTTTTCATTTACTTTTAAATATATTTGACTTTAAGGTGTTACAGTTGAAGAAGCGACCCTGTAAACTGAGGATTTTCCGTCTGTTACCATGACAACCACGAAATCATTTAGGCTGAGAGCAGCTAGTGTGCAGGGTCGCTGTTTAAACCAGAACACCGGGGGTCTCACCTTCATATTTAACCCCGATCAGGGAGCAGGATGAGAGATCGAACAATTTCCTTCAAATAAATCAATAAAAGTTTGATATTATTGATAAAAATCTGAGACTAAGAGTGAAAAAATGAAAGTATCTGAACTCAGGCTCTCCATCTGAGGTCTGTGTGTCTGCTCACCAATCATGGAGCTGTGAAATGACCACAAACAGTCAGATTATTCAGGTTTATAGGCCTTATACAGGAAATATGGTCAAATATATGAGACGGACACAAGAAGTCTGGTTTTATTTTATGAAAAGGTCAAAGTTCAACTGCTCAGTGAATCAGATTGAAGACATGGCAATGTTGTGCTCAGACTGCTGTTATTTTCCACAGCTGTGTTTGAGAGACCTCCTCGGTGAAGATCAGATCTCCTCCTCAGTGAGTCACAGCAGCTCCTCACCGTCTGAAATCCCAGCAGACTCTAGGGTCTAAAGTGGAACATTCATATCAGCCAAGTATGCAAAAGGTCAATGAAGAGCCTCGGTATAATTAGTAAGGTCTGTCCCCTGATCAATCCCTCTGCTCATTTGTCTTTGTACTACAGCTTTCTATTCCCGTACATGAACTATTGTAACATTGTATGGTGTGCAACGTGTCCAACTTACCTCAAGAAAATATTAATAATCCAGAAAAGATTCATAAGAATGATATCACGATCCAGCAAACACGAACCTTCGGCTCCTCTCTTTTCTAAATACTCCATCTTACCAATTGACAAACTCAATGTCCTTCACTCTTGTTTATATGTCCACAAATTCATCAACAACAAACAAGCCCTTCCTGAAACTTTCCGAAACTTTTTTACCTTTTCATCCGACCTTCATTCGTACTCAACACGACAAAATGGCCATCTTCAGTTACCTTCATGTAGAACTTCTAGTCATCAGTCTAACATCACTTTTAGAGGTCCGAAACTGTGGAATAATCTTGATGCATCTCTAAAATCAATATCATCCTTTAACTCCTTTAAAATATCATTAAAATCTCATCTGATCATGTCTTAAATACATCATTATCTGTTATGATCATATCTCTTTCCTTTTTATAAATACTTTATTTTCTTTATCACTGTTTGCTGATTTGTCTGTGTTCCAGTCTGTGTACTTAGTTGTCCGCACCTTATGTTTTCTCTGACCTGACGGGAGTGGAACTCTGTATAAGCCCATCGGCTTCGTTCCCTCCTTGCACTGTTTTTAATCTGTGCTAAATAAACAAAATACAAATACAAATACAAATACTCTTGTGCACGCGTGTTTGCATGTGTTTACAGACATCAGGTCAAGTCTTCTGCAGCTGAATCTGACCGTCTTCTCCTCACAAGATTTCACTTTTACTGCAATCATTGAATCATGTGAAAGTACGTCATCATCAGGTCAACGACGGGCGGATGCAAGTTTGGAAAAATCCTGCAGCGTTTTGAAATCGGAGGTGAGTCAGATGATGTTTCTGTGACACCAAGACGCCAAACTGTAACCCAGCATGTCCTGTTTGTGAGTGAGTGCGTGCGTGCGCGTGTCTGCGTGCACGTTTGATTTACTGACTCAAGCTTTGAGAGAAAGTTCAGCCACACGTTCGGCACGTCTGCCAGCTGACTGTGAGACTCGGGAACATTTACAGTCTGTGGACACGGTGTACTCTCTCTCGCTCTCTCTCAGCGCGTACAGCTGTCAGGAAGAGGAGGAAACGCCGCTCACCTTCCTCAGCCGAGGTCGAGCTCCTCTGCACCAAACTGGGACAAAACAAGCTGCTGCGGCTTCTGTGAGAGTCGACACAATCAGATGTTTGATCACTGATAAACTGACGTCATCATCAGCTGATTAAACGGCATCATGGGTCAAAAACAAGCACACAAATACGTCTGCAGCATGCATCCAAAACAGCCTGCACATGTTTCAGCACTTTGTTTAGATTCTGCACATTAGAGAGCGTGTTTCCGATCATCGCTGTGCACAAATACCCGAGCCCTAAATAAACATACCTCCCATTTTCCCCTCCAAAGTCTTTAAGCTCTGGTTTTGTGTATCTGACTGTAAAGGACACTGTGTGCCCTGCAGAGACCGTCCTATAGCCGTGTAATCAGGGTACTTTGTGGTCTTCCTCTCCCTGCGCACAGACACTTAATCCCCTCACAGCTGCTCAGTGTGTAGATTGAAGCTCATTACCCTCTAATCAGCTTAAACAGCAGCATCGGGCTGCATGATTCACCCTATATGGATTGTAATCTGTGGGGTCAAAGTTCAGCCTTCACTGATTACAGATATCCTGACGTGTTGTTGACTTTACGGCGTGTTATGATGGTGCAGATCTTTGATTTGTGTGTTTTGACTTTACCTGTTGATGATTCTTCTTAGTGCAAATCTTCCCACTGAGCCTCAGACATCTATTAGACATCTGGACTTAGTTAAGACTAAAATTCACCTGTCTATAATTGGTCTATATTTTAGCCCGAATGTAGACGATAGAATTTACTCCATAAAAAAACAACTTTAGGTTTTATAAATGATGACCAAATGTTGGATTAAAACATTTTTGACAGTCATTGATCCGTGTACAGTGTAGTTTAGTCTGTTTAATCGGCTAAAAGACTTTCATTTTCGACCAGCAGTAGATCGATTTTAACCCAGACGTCTAAGGACCGTCAGATGTCTATCAAATGTCTTCGAGACCAAGAATGCTCGGTGGGTTAGGCCAGGTGAAAATGTGCACATTTTAGGCCCAGTTTAGACGTACCCCGTTATTTTTAAAACGGAGACATTGACCTAAGGTGACCATATTCTGACTTCCCAAAAAGAGGACACGACTACGCGGGGGCGGAGTCACAGAGTCACGGAGTCGCACAAAGTTAATTTTGAGAGTTTTTCAGGTCGGATTGAGTGTCTTTCACACGCTTCTAACTTCTAACTTCTAACTCAGTAAGTTCAGGCGACACAAACTTGAAACTTTCATACAAAACTGCAGACATTTGAAGGATTTTATAAACTCCCCCGGACAAAGTTGTACAGCCCCCTAAAAAGAGGAAATGTCTGGGTGAAAGAGGACGTATGGTCACCCTAATTAACCATCGTTTGCACCCTTCGTTTCGACGCAAACTGAGAATCCGCCCCTGAAAACGATGCTTCCTAAAAACTCTGTCCAGAATCGATCGGAATACAATTTCTGATTGAGCCGAATTGGATCAGAATCTTCCGGTTCTTCCTCGATGTTTTAACTTTTGTGTAAGTTGGACATAAACTCAGAAGTGGTCACAGATTTTTGGGCGCGCCTCATAAACCGTGAGTCCACAAACCCAGAGAGATACTCTGAGAACTTTGGGGGTGTAGAGAGGCACTAAAAGCCAGTCTAAAGAAATGGAGAGTGTTGCAGGTGATAATCTCATTTTTTAAGATGTAGGTCATGAAGATGATGAATCAGTGTGAGAGGGAGACAGTTTCGTAACCTGTTAAAAGCTCCCTACAGTGCCTTTAAATGTGTGTAAACAGCACATATTCAGTCATATCTCCTCACTTTTCTAAATGGGTTACAATCTGATTTCTTATTCTTGAAGTTTGGAGAGGAAACTCTCCTCCTCCTCTTCCTCTTCCTCCTCCTCTTCCTCCTCCTCTGTGTTTGTTCTGGTGGTTAAATTTATCACCACTAACACGCCGTACATTCCTGCGGTCTCCTCACTAGTGCAGTAGGTCTGCCTGCATGAACAGACTGGATGTTCCTTTAAAGCAGCCGGCGTGTCACTATCAGCACGTAGCTCACGCGCTGAGCTGCAGTGTGTTCCTCTACGTGCAGCACTGCTCACACACACACACACACACACACTAACACACACTCACACAGAGGACACGAAGGTACAGTCCGACTGGATTATGTAATCAGTAAAGGACTGATCTCTCCGCCCACAGACTGCTCTTTGTTTTCACCACACACGCTGTCACTACACAACACTTGCAGAACATGCAGTACAAATACATGCAGTACAAACACATGCAGTACAAATACATGCAGTACAAATACATGCAGTAGTACTGTGACACATCAGACTGACAGAAGCTGCAGAAACATGAATTTTGCATGACTAAAAAGTGTAAACTCCCTCTGCAGTAATCCATAATTTCATGGGTGTTATGTTGTTTCCTATAAGATTCCTGTAATCCAGGATTATTTGATGGTGTTTGCAGACTGATCAGCTTTTCTGTGCATCATGGTGAACATGCAGAAACACTAGAGCTGCAGGATTTTGAAGCCTAACCACAGTTTGTCATGTAAAGAGAGGTGAATCACAGAGAGGAGGTCAACAGGAGCTCCTTATCAGCTCACATGTCCAGGTTTGTCTGTACACTGTGTTACTGTAACGCCTGTTGGTCCTCTGAGTTCCTGTTTGCAGGTCAAATCCATCAAACAGCAGGACACTGTTGGAGTAGTAGTACTGTGGAGTATTACAGTAACCTCCTAGTACTTGTGTTGTTGTATTTGAGGAATGTGGTGTACTGTATTGTCAGTTTGAAGTGCAGAAAAAGTCAGTAAACAACAGACCTCAGTGGGGTGTGTTCCTGCACGGCTGAGCTCCACCAATCAGAGCCCGGATCCTCACCACGTGTTCTTCTTGTTTACTACGAGGCTGCAGAGCTACAGAGAGGGCTGCTGGGAAAATACGGAGCGGATCAGCTGCTCGGGATGGTACAGGTATGAGGTTCAAGGTTTCATAATAAGACCTTTAAAGGGAAACTGGTTCTGCTGTCTGGAGACTCATCACGCCAAAGCAGGTTGAAAGTGGGCGGGGCTAACCGTCTCACCTGTGCCAGAAGCCATCAACTCTGCCAGGGATGTGGTTTGGTTAACCTACTTTTCCACCCACACCCACTCACTACACCTATACACCACCTAAAGGCCTGATCCAGGTGTCTCTGAAAGAGTCCTCGTCTAAATGATTTTATCGTCTTTTATGAAGCACTTTAAAATGTTATTGTTGAAATACGTCACATGAATAAACTCACCTTGTGTTGGTTTAATTTCACTGTTTTTGTTTTTGACTTTCTTCATGTACGTCCTCAACCAATCAGCTGTTCCTAGATGTGAACCACCCCAGTGCTGAGATCAGTTTTAAAGACTCCTCTGTGATGAGAAAATTATCATCCTATCTCATTCACTGTTATCGTAATCCAATATGTTTTATTTATGTAGCACATTTTTTAAAATAATTCAAGTTTACCAAAGTGCTGCACAATAAAATGAAAAGAACAGACGCTGCAGAAAACATCAAGAGGAAATGAATAAAAGCAGGTAAAAAAACATCGAAAATGAACTAAAAGCTTTAAAGAAATTAAAAGTGATAAAATCATAAATTTGTGGCATCATTAAAAGTAGTTTGTAAATGTGCGCCATAAATTAAGGTTGACTTGACTGAATGTAAATCCATCTGAAAAAACAAAAACAATAAACACAGATACTATAATAAATTATGTGTAAAATCTTGATATTATTGTTATACTTCTTTATCAAAGTGAGGTCCTTGTTTTTGTCGATTTTTAGAAGAAAGTTTTTTATGAACATTATAGATTTATTGATGGAGAATGATGTGATTTTTAAATTATCTTTATTTGCTGTTCTTGTGTGTTTTTATAACATGTGTTTCAAAATAAAGCCCTGATCACATGATTCTGTTGATGCTTCTACAGAAGCGTATTACATTCACCAAAAATAAAAACAACTCTATTTTTCGGAGTAATTTTTTTTTTCTGTACTGTTCTGCTGACTAATTTTTTTTTCTGATTTTTTTTTTTTTTTTGGACAATTTTTTTTTCTTTTCTGATTTTCAGAATTTTTTTTTTTTAGACTGAAAAATGCCTCTGTATTCCTCCATATATTGAGGAAAAAAAACAGCTATCGACATATTAAATATTTTAATAAAATAAAAACACATTTTAAAAAAGGATTCATGAATTATTTGATAATTCGCACACGCTCAGTAAAGAGGTGAGAAGTTCAGACATGTTCATCCTGTCTGCGTCCTCAAACTTTCCCACATCACTCACTGATTTCCACACTCTCCTCATACTGACAGTTTTCGTGGAAATTTCCATGTTGCATCACAAACTGGTTTCTGCTGCTGATATGAAAAAAAGACTCCCCTCCGTGAGTCCTGGTGTAATCCAGTCCATGTTTTGAGTGCAGCCCCTCCTCTCTGTTCAGCCTGCAGCAGCAGCAGCAGCAGGACTCACTCTCAGCTTCCATTGAGCAGCAGAGGATCCTCTCAGAGCTGCTGGACTCTTGTTGTTGTTTTTCTGCTGGAGCCTCAGTCTGTGCAGGTATGTGACAGCTCTTGCACACCTTCACACACACCTTCATCTTGGACCTCTCTGTACAAACTCTCCTCTGGGTTTCCTGACTTTGCTGATTTCCTCTGTTTGCTGAATGAGCTGCTGCTGCTGCTGCTGAAGTTCACAAAGAAAAACGTGACTTCCACTCTTCACCTACTGTCCTACTTTCTCTGCTGTGTTCCTCCTGTTTGAGATCCTCCTCAGTGGAGTGGGATGAATCTGTCTGAGGTGTTTCTGCAGTTTTACTCTTTTTTCTGCCTGTTTTTGTGTGATTTTTTCAGACTTCAGGAGCAGGTTTGAGGTTAGAAAAGTGGAAATAAAGCAGACTTGATCTTATTTTGGAAACATTAGAGCTCAAACTTGTCCGTTTGTGGCAGCAGTGAGAGGAGTATGGATGGGCTGAAGTTGTTTTTGTGCTCATTGAGGACTCTTATTGTGGAGGGTGTGAACTTGACCCTGGAGGAATGTGATTGGCTGGAGCTGCAGACAGAGAGGGGTGTGTTTGTACAGTATGTATGCCTGTGTTTGTGCGTGTGTGTGTTCCTCCTGAGCTCTTGCTTAACTGAACTTTTGGCCTGTTTTTTTCTGGTTTGGTGTTGCAGCCTCATGCAGTTTTGGTGAATTAAGAGCATTTACTCACAGACAGTGTTTTTATGTTTTAAACCCTCTTGTGTTTCTGTGCTTTGAGGCTCCAAACCTGACCTAAAATCCATTTACCACCCCTGAGATGACCCAGAAACACCAACAGAGCACACAAAGTGGACTCAGACAGGCTGGGGGTTTGATAAATTTGTGAAGCGATGTTCTGAATCGGCAGCTTTAACAGTTCAGCCGCAGAAAATGATCAGATTTAGATGAGAGGAGAAGGAAAGAGCTTCAACAGGCAATGAGTCAAAACAAAGTGATGAGTTGGATTAATCTCCAAATTTAAGTAAAACTAAATATTTTATATGTTTTATTGCATGCATACACTTTTAAAACACTGATTGACTCTTAATATTTGCAGTTTTTAGACACAGTTTTAGATTTCTGCACATTTCATTCAGTACGCAGTTACACTCTGAGTATTTCTTTGTACTTTTACATCTGTGTTTATAGAGTTTATTGAGCATTAGGATGGATTTATCGTAGTAAACGCCTGTCTCTGAATGCTTTAACATGTCTGACTGTGACTTTAACTGCAAAAATAATACAGACTATCCATCTATCCTGTCCTACATCTTTAAATAATTATTTCAAATTAAATCATGAGCAGTAGGGCTCCTGCAGTGTAGCAGATCTCACATTTCTGTCCTTAAAAAAACAAAATAATCACATGGTAAAAGTGGGACTTTATAGTTGTGGACGTTAAAGATATTAATCAGAAACTGGAGGAGAGACGAAGAAGAAGAAGCAGCTGCTTGTGACCTAGATGATCACACACACTATTAAAAAAATGACGTCTAAAGATTGTGAAAGAGTCAGATTTTCAGTCAGTTTTATCATCTCCTGATTAACCGTAAGTTCTCCAAAATAAAAGCATGATCAAAAGAAGTGATGTGGATAAATTTGATTGTCAGAAATGACCAACAACTTGTGAGGTAATTGCATTTATTAGTTAAATTTGTTAAGTGTTATGTTGCCTGTTTTACTTTACAAACTCACCACAAACTCCACAGTGAAATCTGACATTAATCTCATGTTTTTTGGGGTCATTAAATTTGGACACGCCCACTCAGAGTAGCTGTTAGTGCAGGAGTGATCACTGTCAGATGGATGTACAGAGGTGTCAGATTAAAACCTCACAAGTTGGTTAGTGGTGCATGATGAAAATGGGTCTGTTTGCAAACACATCTGGAAGTTTCAGCTCCTAAATCAGCTTTAAAGTTCGGTGTCTTTTTTTGTGACTGGAAGACTTAACCGGAATCTGGATCCTCTGAGTCACTGGTTATCAGGAAGACTTGAAAAGTGGATGGAGGGGTGGAGTGGGGGGTGGGGGGGTGCATTAGGTTGCTATGGCGACCTCTTTTAGCAGTATAGGTGTTGTAATTCAGTGTAATGTGATAAAGTAACAATGAAATGCTGTTAAAGCCATCTGCTGTGTTCATTTAAATCCTTTACTCTAACACACACACACACACACACACACACACACACACACACACACACACACACACACACACACACACACACTCGGCAGACTGACTGTAAATGACACAGAAGCCTGTGAGTCACTCAGATCTTTGGACGATAGAGCAGGTCTGACTCTGAACACTTAATCCAGAGCAGAACTTTTCCCAGCAGACACTGGGGTGTGTGTGTGTGTGTGTGTGTGTGTGTGTGTGTGTGTGGGGGGGGGGGGGGGGGGTCACTGAATAAATCCTTTTTTTATGTGAGTTAGCATTAAAAGTTATTAAACTGAAGTAGTAATCTTCTTTGCTCATTTCAAGTTCAGACATATTTCCTTTAATCTGATTTATTGTAAACAGATTTATGATCGAACAGACGCTCATTTTCATCCGGACAGTTTCATATCCTGCTCCTGAACAAAAGAAGAAAAAAAGACCTTTCATAAAAAAGAATAACAATCTCTGTGCTCTTATAAGACAGAAGGTTTTTGCACATGTATTATCGGGTTAAAAGACTTGCAGAAAACTCGTGTTCGCACCGGTCTTTGAGTGTTGAATATGACGTTTTCTTTCTGATTTTTTTATGTGATTTTTGCACAGAACAGGGTGAAAACAGAAAAACATGCACAGATCAAAATCTGCAAAAAGACAGTGAACCACTAAGAGCACAGTGACAGGATCAGCAGCAGCAGCAGAACGATCCATCAAGCTTACAAACATACAACACACGAGTTTAATCCTGGTATTGTACAGAAAGTCATTAAACCCAAGAGTGGTTAAAAGCCACAAAAATTGTTTTATATTAAAATAATTAAGTTATGAAGAGGAATCCTAACGTTCAGATCCACCAAATATAAAACACCTCACTGTTCAGCATGCTGGCTGTTGATACTTGATTCTCATCCTCATCCTGGTTCTTCTGTTTTCTCTCTCTTTGTTCATCTGAGTTTCTTCTTCTCCTCTTTTGTCACATTTCAAAACTGAACCGTACAATTTCTGGAGAGTGGTGAAAAATGACAAGGATTTTTGTCTTTATTTACTTTTATTGTACGTTTAGTTATTTGTCCTTCAGTAAAATATGTGAAGAAAAAAAACATTTTAAAGTGTTGAATTGACTTTTGTTTCACTCTCTGTTTCAGATTCTGACTCTCAGACTCTCTAAGACAGACAGACAGACAGACAGACAGACAGACATGTTACCAAAGACTCGTCTTGGAAAGCGCTCTCCTCTCGGCGCCTTGGTGAGCTCCACCTGTCCGGCGTCTGGAACACACCCAGGCCTGGAGACAGGTGAGGCTGGCATCACCATGGCAACCCCCGCAGGACATCAGAGCGTCGGCAGAGTCAAGGGTCACCTCGGACTGAAGGTGAGGGGACTTTATCATCATTTAGAGCGTCTTGAGTGACAGGTGTGTCAGCCTATCACAGTGTCCGTTTCCTCTCTCAGGTGTATTTTCAGTGCAGCGGTGGAGGCCAGTCTTCAGGTGTGGTGGATCAGGTGGACTTCAAACAGAGAGATGTCTTAGTGTCTCCCTCCTGCAGCAGATCCGTCTCCTCCTGCATCGATGTCCCCAGAAGGTTCGACTCTCTCTCCGTCTCCTGTTTTTTGGTCTTCTTTATGCATCACACCTAATTTATCTCCTCTCTTCTCCTCCTGCAGTAAGAGGAGTCCAGAGGAGGTGGACATGGATGAGCTGATGGCGGCGATGGTCCTCAGCAGTTTGTCCTGCAGCCCTCGTCTGCACAGCCTCACCCATCAGGAAACGACAGGTACATCAACAACAATCAACAAAATTCAATATTAAAAAAAAAAGGGGACAAAAAAACAATAAAAATCCATTTCTCTCTCATTTCAGCTCCTGTGATGGACTGTGGAGGTGGCGAGCTCTCCGACAGCGGCAGCAGCGGCTACTGGAGTGTCGGCCACAGCAACGGAAGCCCCGCCCCCTCTTCACCGGTCGCAGAGCCCGCAGTAAGCCCGGTCGCGCCCCCTGATGAAGGACTGGACATGGAGATAGAGCAGGTGCTGTTTGAGGAGCCGGCGCCGAGGAAACGCAGGGTGAGCTGAGCGTCAGAGTTTGACTTGACAGGAGGAATAACCTCCGAGGAGACGGACTGAGAGTTGACGTTTGTTTGTCCTCCTCCAGAACTCGGTGAAGACGGCGTACAGGTGTCTGTGGCCCAGCTGCGGGAAGGTGCTGACGTCGGTGGTGGGAATCAAACGTCACATCCGGACAACACACCTGTGGTTCGTCTCATCGCCTCTTTTTACAGAAAATATAAATAACCAGAGGACGAGTTTTACTCAATTCTAAATGTGTTTGACCTTTGACCTTTGACAGCCGTGGCGGCGAACACGAGCGTTGTTCCCGCAGTGAGGAGGACTTCTACTACACTGAGATCAACCAATGGGACCCGCAGCAGCAGCAGCAGCAGCAGTCCCCGCCCCTCCCTCTCCTGTGTAGCCCCGCCCCTGCTTCCCCCGCCTCCTCTTCCTCTGCACCTCCAAGCCCTCCTCCTCCCTCTCCTCCGTCCCCACCATCCGCCTCTCCTCCGGCCTGCAGCGCTCTGAGTCGCTCCGCCCCTTCCACCTCTGGCAGCCTCTGGCAGGTCCAGTCAGAGCACTCCTACCAGGTAAGGCGGGGCTTATTCTCAGGCATATTTTGTTACCTTGAAAATGCAGATGAGTCTTTTTTATAATTTACATAAAAAAAGATTTTTAAAGCTACAGTAAGAAACTTTCCATCTATGTTGACTTTGGCGCCCCCTGTGGAGGAAGTGTAACCCTTAAGTCATAGCTAATAGACTAAAAGGCTTTTTAATTACCTTGTTTAAACTGCTTTAAAGCTAGCATCGGAAAACAAATATGTGTTTACGTTTTTATGTTTTGTTTCTCTAGGCTCCGCCTCCAACTCTGGTGTTGTCAGCAGCTGCTTCAAACACAGCCCCCTGTCGCTGGGCGGCCACGCCCACCACCTGTGTCCGACAAGTGAGTTTGCAGATACGACAGTGAAACGATGAATTATGGGTGCAGGGTCAAAGACAAGTCAAAAATCTGAATATGTAAAGTGAGAATTTCAGTTTGGGTCAAGTTTGGCGCCCCCTATGGCCAAATACATCTTTACTTGTCCTGTAAATGGACATTATGCTATTTATCGTCATTTATTCTTAATTTTTTCTTGTAGAATTTTAAACTGAGCATGCTCAGCTAACACCAACATGTAAAAATAAGTTGGTCCTACCTTAGCCTTAAACGACGGGTCGCAGTTAGAATATGACAAAATATTGAACAGCTTGCAAACGAAAATAAGATTTAAAAAGTATAAAAAAATATTGATGTTAAAGTATTTTAAAATAATCATTTTTCTTATCTGACACCAGAGCGAATGAACAGCAGGAGTAAAACAACAAAACAAAAACAAATCTTTAAAAGTGAATGTTCGTGTTTGTGGAAGTCTGATATGATACTTTTGCATCCTAATGCCTCCTTAAACTCAGAATACAAGTTTAAGTCCTGAACTTTAAAAAGTGAGCAGTGCTGCAGCTGTGCATGCTGGGAAGAAGACTCTGCAGCAGTGTGCATAAAAGGAGACGGCGATAATGATGATCTCTAGATATGAGCTGTTGCACCAAAACAAAAAGACAGTGTGCAGCAGGAAACGCTGCAGACAGCTGAGAAATGCTGCAAACAGAGTCTCGGCGGAGCTTCATTGTTCAGTTTTGGCTGAAAACACACAGTTCTGGGTTTTCCCTGAGACTTTTGGTACGACTGTGCATCTCCTTAAAGACGGCTTCAGCGCCACACAAACACACACACACACTTCTCTAATTCACTTCTGTTTTCTCTCGGCTCGCTTCCTGTACAGCAAAGTCTATTGTTTATTTCCTCCACGGGCCCAGAGAAGCCTGTTAAGACTGGTTTTACACTGGAGGGGGGTGAAGTGTGTGTGTGTGTGTGTGTGTGTGTGTGTATGCTCCTCCCTGATGGTTTTCATTCAGAAGGAAAATCCCCTCCTGGATGGTTTGCGGTCACATTTTCCATCAATCTGTCACAGTGAGGTGCTGCCACCTGCAGGCAGAGGGAGGGAGCTGCAGGATGTTTTTCAGTAGAGAGGACAAACACAAAGGACATTAATAACAGGAGGAGCACAGAGGGAACACAAAATGACAGAGCAGCAGAGGAAAATCTGAAATAAACAATAAAAACAGAAAAAATAAGAAACGACAGCAAAGACAGCGGGAGAGGGAGAAACGGCTCAAATAAACAACAAACTCACTCCTCTTCTTCTCTCCTCTGCAGGGTTTGACCATGAGGGTTCGCTCCGTCAGTGTAGGAGAGCAGTGGCTGCAGCAGCAGAGCGCCCCCAGCAGGTCAGTATCAACAAGTAAACAACATTTTCGGACAGCAGAGTGTAAAGTCCACATTCAAGATTGTCAAAAATGTGAATACTGCCTTCATGACTCTGTAGGTTACAATGAAGGTATTAGCAGTTAACCCTGATAGTAACCCATCTCTCTGTCTCTGTCAGGAGGGTTCGTGGTGAAGCCAAGAAGTGTCGTAAAGTCTACGGCATCGAGCACAGAGACCAGTGGTGTACGGCCTGTCGCTGGAAGAAAGCCTGCCAACGCTTCCTCGACTGAGCGGAGAAACAAAGAAGGACTCAAACAGGCTGTGGACTTCAGCCTCACCCGGTGGATGTTTTATACTTTTGTACATCAGACGTTTTTTTGTTCCCATTTTTATACTCTTTCTACATTTGCTAGAAGTGTCTTTTTCATTTTTACGTGTCTTTTGAATGTATTTTGTAGTCGCCTTGTCCTATCAGTGCAGCTATTATGTGACTTTTGACCTTGAGGCAGCCGAGCGAGTTGTATTTGTATTTGTATTTTTTTGCGTCCAGCTGGTTCCTCGAAGGTCCCCAGTTTGTCGTCTGACTCATAAATATTCAGATTTATGGGTCGTACGTCGTAATTAGTCATTTTATCGGGTCCTAAGTGTTTTCAAATCTCAAAAAGCGAAGTGTAGAAAAGCACAGAAGTTCAGTGTTTACGCCTCAAGTTGGACCTTTTTACTGTTTTTTGTATTTGACACAAGGCTGGAGTACAAACACTAATTTAACAGTAAATACTTGAGCTCGCCTCGTCAGCAGGGTGCATGTGTAAACTCCATAAACTGATGTGAATCTGGATGCTCAAAACACACTCATAGAAAAATGCACCAAATACCCTTAGGTTTTCTTTTGGATGCTTCCGATCTTTGGTAGCAGTCTAAAAACACATCAAATACGTATAAGGAGGGGTGCTTTTCACTCCAAAAAGACAACAGGATACAGGTTTTGTCTGAAAAAGCTACTCCTTTGTAAACGGGACAAGAAATCAGAAATCAGAGGTATCACCTTGTCCACAGGGGGGCGTCATATCACCACAAACTCAAAGTTCCTCACAGCCGTTTTAAAGAAAATAATGGTGCACTTTTTAGCAGAAAGGTCTTCATGTGGAGAGCTGGTTTGATTAATAAGACACCCCAGTTTAGGACAACAGCACTGCCACTGAGCTCATTTTCTGCACCGGTCCTTTACAGGACGGCAAAAAACAGAAAGAGCTTCACGTGTCCACAAAAACGGCACATTGTGGACTTTGCAGAACACAGGAAGTCTTCATGCATGAAGACATTTCAGATCCTCGGGGAGACCCCTCAGAAACAAATCTGGCCTGATGTACTGGTATGTGCCATTCAAAAGGGTGCAGCTTTAAGGTACTTTTAAATTTGCATCAATTTCCGTTAAAAAGTCTTTTCCTTATGGACAGTTCTTGGCTAACTCTCTCGTGTTTTTATTCCTATAACATCAGCCAAATAAGCAGCAGGAGTATGAAGGTATTTTTGGTGCAAAAGGTAAAAGTACAACACAACATTTACACATTCACAAACTCTTAATTACAGGTGCACAAATCTTATTTGGCCGTAGGTGAGACAGTTAGTCACAAGGTTTATATGTAAATAAAAAGGATTCCCTCTGCCCTCCGACAGGTAGCAACAACGGTAGTTTACTAACTTAGCTGAAAGCTAATGCTAAAGCTAGCCAACTGTTGCATTAGCCTGTAGCTGTTCAGTAACTTTAATGAGACAAACACATAAACTAACACAGATATAGTATTACAATCTTGTTTGAGCTTTGACTTGAGCTCTTTAAGTGACAAAATCTATCTGCATCTTCCGTCCTTGAAAACTGTTAAAGGGATATTCCGGCGTAAAAACAATTAAGGGTCAAACACACCTCAGGCCAGTCTATTACAGCGGGGTGACGCAGCTCAAGGAAGAACATTTATGATTATTACTGTATCATTTCCTTGAAGTAATAATCATCATATTAATCAATTTGCACTGCAGACGCGGTAGTTCTTCTGTCTTCGCGTCTCGGTATGACTGTATTTCCATGAAGAAATGAGTTGTGTTTCGTCTCTTTGCTAAAGAAATGAGTCAAAGTTAAAAAGATGTTTGATGTCTAGTACTATGACTGTGACCCTGTATGTCCTGTTGATGAAGTTAGGTGCTGTTCTGAGCATTATTTGTGGTTATAGAGTGGCGTTTTGGTTGAGCATGTGGCTCTCTGTATTACTATCCTGCGTTCGTTACTAAAGTTGGTTTAACTAGAGAAGCAAGCAGTCGACAACATTCATCTCTGGAGGGGGGGTCTAACTCTGTTTTACGGTGTGTTTGACCCTAAATTGATTTTACACCGGAATATCCCTTTAAGTAAAGTTTGTGCGAAGTTTATCTGTAAATCCGACAAGTGGAGGAAGAAAACTTTTTTTTACTGTTAGTGTGTTTTGGAGGTCATAAATCAGGTTGTCTAAAGGTCCTAAAGGGTCTTTTTGGTGCTCTGCAGTCGGAGGTCATCTGCAGAACTGACTCTGAAGCAGCTTTGAACGCCGACACACCAAACCGACCATCAGGTGCTCTTTATATGAAGAATAAAGCCTTTAATTTGTTATCGATGTACCTGAGGAAAACTTCATACTCTGTTGTCTTTAAACAGCCTGTGACACAACTCCATGTCAATCGTTTGATCATCTTTAAACGGTGTCTTACGGCAGCTCCGTCTGAATACTGAAGATGGTCTCGGTGTGTCGCTGTCCTCACTGCTTCAGACTCTAAATTCTTAACCAATCCAGCGTCAGATTTATCACATCAGATGTAAAAAAACGTGTAATTCAAACTGCAGACATGTGTTAGTCACTTCACTGTAAATACCATCCCTCCTCCTCATCATCATCATCTTCGTCCCTTTCTTCATGTGAGCTTCAGTTCAGTTGTTTCATGTTAGGAAGCAGAAGCCATTTCCACTCGTCTCAGTGGGAACCCCATGCAGTATTGATCGAAAGGGTCTTACAAATACATTAACACGATGTTTACACAGAGAAAGATGTATATTTTATGATATCTACATGTACCTGTTGGATGTATACAGACATAAAAATACCAAACGACCTTCCTGAAGCCTTTTGGATGTTTCTTTGCAGTAAAAGAAGACAAAAGTTCCTCTTTATTTATATTCTCTGTACGTCCTGTTCGTCCCAAAAAAAGTAAATGTTGATCAGTGTAATCGTTTTCATTTTTTAAATGCACTTATATTTGTTGTCAAAATAAAGTGAGAAGATTGATTCAGACTCTTCTTGTCTCTTTTGGTTTGTCTGCACTGACGAAACTAACTTTACCCCAATAAACTGCTCCTCCATCAAGAGGCGCAAGAGCACCAAATGTCGCTGCACTATTTAAGCACCACCAACTGCTGAAACAAGGCAGGATGGATCCATGCTTACGTGCTGTATCAGACCCCACCGACCAATCTGAACCTGTCGGTGTAAATTTCTCTCATAAAGCAAAGCCACAAGTCTGAGTTTTAAATAAAGTTTTTATTAAAGATGTTCCAGCTCAACAGTAACAGCAAACTGAACACAAACCTCATGTAAACTGATAATAAAAAAAGAAATTTGCTGCAGGTACAGTCACTGGTCCACTCTGACGCTCACACATACACACATTCACGCGCACACGCACCTCTCAGCTGTGACTCTGCTGTAATAATAAATTATATGTACAGTCCAGGTCCACCTGTGACTCCATCTGACACCAACACACAGTCAGAGAAAGTCGTTGCTCTGCAGCGCTGCAGCCAGAGTCTGTAGAGACGAATCACAACAGACATGATGTCAAACAGAGGAAACAGGTGCAGGAGAAATGACGAATCTATTTACCGTTACGTTGTCATAGTGATGGCTAAGAGATATGTTTTCGACCTAATTTGGTTGTCAAACATCCAAGCAATAAACAAAAAGTTACTTCCTCATCATCATCAATAAAGTCTAAAAGTAAAAATATGTAATTCTACACTCACCATTTATCCACCTTGTTCTGGGTCGACTCACTCTTTCCATCACAGGCAACAATCTTGACCTTATCGACCTTCACGAGGTCCGTCACCTCCCTGAACTCCACGTCGTTGAGGACAAACGTCCACACGTTGTCACAGAACCTGTAAGTGTTGAGAGAGCCCTGCAGGACAGACGAGGACAGCAGCTGAGAGGCGGAAACATCAACAGTTTTCTCGTTTTCAACCCCTACTCTGTCAGGAGCCCCTTTCACTCGTGTACTCCTGGCAGTTTCTAGAAAATTTCAGGACTGCCTGCACAGCCCTGACATTTTCCAGTGTCAGGGCTGTGCATGTCCCTCACAGTGGAGGAATTTCTCTGTCGAACAGGGACAAGGGAGTCGTCTCAGAAAGCAGTTTATGGCATAAAAAGAAGACTGCAGACAGAGCAGTCTTTACTTTCTCCATGCTGGTGTACAGGGTCAGCTTTGGGGGACCTGAGGTGTAAAGTCAAAGTTTCGGGGTAAGACAAAGACTCACTCTGAAGTTGACTCTGTTGCGGACTCTGTTGGCGAGCGCTGTGTTGATAGCTTTATCAAACTGGAGGAGGACCTGGAGAGCCAGCTGAGGAGTGATCTGCTGAGTCTGAACACACATCAATAACAGAAACGATTAACACAGTGACATCCAGTGGAGTAAAATTCACAGGCAGCTTTTTAAACCAACCAAAAATTATACTTCAAAGTTTCCTCAGACTTAAAGAAGAGGATGAGTTTTTACAATGAGGGGGTCTTTTTTCAACCCACTTACTTACAGATGGGATTGTTTTATTTTTCTATTGAGACAGAAATTCATGAGACACTGAGTCCTAGAGGCAGATTAGAGGTTATGTTTTTATTCCATCGTTCATCCTTAACTGTAGGGCTGAGCGATATAACGATATATATCAAAAACTAATCTCGATATCAATATAAAACATGGTCAATATGCTTGTCAATAGTCGGCATTCTGCGATGATGTGGTAAGTCCATCACATCTGTCTTTAACGAACTAATCATGACGATGATGCTCAACTTAAACAGACAAATGTTGTTTCTCAGACCAATTTAACTCACAAATGTAACAGTAAAAACTTAATTTTTACTTTGTTATAACTACAGTTAATAAAACCACACTCTTTCAGCACCGGACAAGGCTTTAACTCGGAGAAATCAGAGCTGAAGTTAAACCCCTACCAACCAGCAGACCCCTCCAGTTAGCGACATGCTAATAAGAAGACGCTGTGTGCTAACAGTCGTCATGTTTGAGGTTCATCATGTCACCTGTATGAGCTCGTCCAGACTCTCCTGGAGGCTGTTTCCCAGAGTGGTGTTTCTGTACAGCTGGTACGCCATGACTGAAACCACGAGAGGAACGAATAACTACGGAAAACTGTCCTTCAAACACACACACACAGGGGGGCTAACGGTGCTAACGGAGCTAGCCTCTTCCCTCCACAACAACAAGCGAACTGTACAACAAAGCTAACGGAAACAAACAGGACGCTTCCGGTAAGACCCTTCAACTACGTCCGTTACTAATTTTTTTCTTCACTCCGTCAGCACAGTTTTCAATTAATAGGCTCTATTGTAGAAATGTAGGTGTTGATTTGAAGCATCTCTTTCTCCCTCCATCCCCTTTTCGTATCACATTTAAGCGAAAGCTACTTTACTTTCACACATCGCCATGTTAATACCGTAGACAAAATAATTTAAAATATATGATATAGACATTATATGTATTTAAACGTAAATAACAATACTTAAATAACTACTACTTATAATGATTATAATAATAATCACAATTTATGTGTCTATGTTGATACCCATTTTCTGACCTGTGCTTTTATTTTGAAGGATAGGTGTCCTTCATTCTTGGCTCGATATCCTGAACTTGATAGAGGCTACGGAAGCTGTGAAGGACTAAAATGTTTTTAAAAAATCACTGATGTGGCCTTAACGGTCTTGCCGTAGTTATTAAATTATTAGTGACGTTGATTGGCACATGTTTATTTTCGTTATTTTACCTTTAGTTGCTGAGAAAGCTTGGACAACTTTGTGCTGGGAATGATCATATTTTAATCATCTGAATAAGAAAACAACAAAAGATCAAATGTTTGTTCGCGTTACTCTTTGATTTACTTTGTGCACTTTGTGTTTCCTGTCTGTTCTCGGCTTTACTGTCTTTTTAGCTTTTGTTTAACTTCTGCTCTTTTCTTAATTAACCTTCTTAATCATCAATTGTTGATATTGCCTTTTATATTTACTGTCCTGTTTCTGCTTTCGAACTCCCATTTTATTGAATTTTCCTTTTTTCTTAACTATTTTATGTTTTTATTTTGGTCTCATTTTATGTTGCATGGTTCTTGTATTGTCTGGGTTCCTTATGACATGAAAATGACCTTCAATTCCGTTTTAACTGAGCTTTTTGTTTTTAGCTGTCTTTTTTCATGTGCTCTATGACTATAAGTCGAAGCACTTTGTAAACTTCTGTTTTTAAAAGTGCTATACAAATACAGAGATTGTTATTATTATTATTATTATTATTGTTGTTGTTGTTGTTGTTGTTGTTGTTGTTATTATTATTATTATTAATCTTTTGTTTTGATTCTCTGCTGCTGGTCATGCAGCAAATTTCCCATTTGTAAGAGAAATAAAAGTTAAATGTAGTTTGTCTTATCAGACTCTGGAACAATAAAACGCTACATGGTTGCAATAAACTTAAATTCCAGGAGATGGCAGCAAAACACCAAAACTTTACACCTTTTAGCTTTAATACAGGTTTGAAGTCCCATCCTGTGAGCCATTTCCATATCATATCATGAGTTTTTTTCCTTTATTGTTTGATTTTCAAACCATTACGTAATAATTGTCTGATTTTAAGTTAGTCCTCAGGAGACTCTGTGTTTCATTGTATGGTTTACCTGTATGGTGAGAATATTTACCAAAGTTTCTTATTAATCTCAGTTTTCACGGCATCAATGGTTTCTAAAAGTTTAAGAGGCTTCTTAAACAGTTGAAGACAAAAAGAGTGCGTATAGTTAAAAGATTACTCAATTACATGGTAGTTAAACACACACACATGGTTGATTTGTGTGCGTTGGTTAAGGTGATATTCTATTAATAACTAAACGATCGTAAAATATGAGGTGGAGTCTTGTAGCCCTGCCACCCTAGCCCCGCCCCTTCCCCCCGTGCCATTTTGTAAAAAAAAAAAAATAAAATAAATATTTTTTAATTTTGAAACGTACACATGGGTAAAAATTTTTCGAATGAAACATAAATATAATAACTATAATCATATGTTTTTTTTATTTGCTTGACGATACGAGGTCACGTGACCGCGCTGACCCGCTGACCTGTCTTTGCAGCTGCGCTGTTGGTCGGTTTGTAATTTCGCGGGCTTCCGTAAATTTGTTTGATAAGAGAAAGAAGCTAATAATTCTGGTTATTTATCTCAGCAATAATCTACGCGAGTTCAACGATTTGGATAGTTCAAGTTGGATAGATCAGTTTAAGTTTAACAATATTGCGCACCTGTATTTGTGTTAAAACAAATGAAAAGTTTGTGAGAAACGGGAAATGCGACGGTCAGAGAAACTAATCCACTATAAGGAGGCGAAACTTCGGTGGAAACTAAAACCAAACATGGATTAATGATGAAGATAGAGAAGGTAACTGGCCTGTGCTAATGGAGAAGCAACACAAAAATATAACTTTGTAAAATAAATACGGTAAACGCAGTTTAATAGCCCTGTAATGTTTTTTCTAGGATGAAGACTACATTTCCCATGAACACTGTCACCTGCTGCGGCCAGGATGTGCCTCTTCCCAAAGGATGAGTTTGTCGTGGAAGCTAATGAATAAAATCTTCGCTTTAACTCCACTGGACCTTGTTAAGGTAAGTTTTCTTAGTAAAAAGAGTGAAGAACTGATTTATTGATTCAAAGTTATGTCAAATATTTAACGGTAAACTTAGTAAATGTTTATTAAAATGAAAAGATGACCAGATTTACTTACCTCTCACTGCCAAACTTGTCCAGAAAGGTTATTAGTACAAACTCTTCTGAAAATAGACTGTTTTAACAGGAAACAAATGAGTTTACAGAAGTAATAAATCTATGTAATCTGATTTTATTGTACAGCTCAGTTAAAAGTTCTAACAGTAGACCGTTGTCGGTGCAGGACATTGTATTATTATTATTATAAGGCAGTTAAAAAGCTGATTTCTAAAAGAGGAACTGTTCACCAAGTGTTGTCAGGACTGAAAAACTTTACTCAGCTATTAGGAAAATATGTTGTATAGTGGAGAGTGGGGTAAGTTGAGCAAAAGGGTAAGTTAAGCCTCTCCCTGTTGCTTGGAAATGGTCAAAGAAATTGATCATGTGACCAAATCTTTAGGAGATGGACATCAATTCATGGAGTCTGTGAAGGTTAAAAGCACATGGGTGAAGAGGTTAGACATTTATTTACAAAAAAAAAAAAACATTTTTCACTCTGTAAAGTGAACAACATCCTGAAGTATCTGCAGATACACTAGTTAGAGACACAACTATGATTGACTTGATGTAGTGATCCCAAATATGAAACATGGATCATCTTACCCCACTCTCCCCTTTATAGGCACACTTTCAAAATAAGTTTTAATACTGGAATTTAACTTTCAAACCTGTCTTTATCACTTAAATACTGCAGCTGATAAAGTTCGAGCTTATTTCAGTGAGTTTATAAGTCTCTTTTGTGTCACTTCATATATAGAAATGAACTGTAATCCTGAAGTAAATAAACAATTTAAATGAAGTACAAGTACCTCAAAATTGTAAGTCATTACTTCATGTGAGTAATGCTTTGTTGCATTTAGGCCTGTCACGATAACAAATTTTGCTGGACGATAATTGTGCTACAAATTATTGCCGATAAACGATATTATTGACACCGTTTTTTAAATTATAGATAATGATATTAAATGGCATAATAATGCGAGTACACCGTGTCAAAAGTGATAAACTTTAATTTCACCCACGACGAAGACGTAACGTTGACGAGCTAAACATAAGTCGGAGATGACTAAAATGTGACGAGACGAAAGTGCGTTTACGTTGATGGGGCGAGACGAAAATGACAAACAGAGTTGCAAAACTCAGTCAGTTAAACGCTAAACATATAGGAGCAGCTTAGGTCCGCTCTGACAGCTCTCATCAGCCTGCTGTGCTCCTCCAACACACAGACACACACGCGCGCGCGCACACACGTGGAGTTTTGTGGTTGACGAAAACAAAACTGGTTTAAAGCCGAAATATTCCCACACTTGGGCTGTTGCGTTCGGTTTAGACACCAAAGCTGTCGTGTTCATTCTGTTTGCTTGCTTTTCACTCACGACGCTCACTTGCAGCACTGTATCCAAAACTCTGTGTCTGTGTGCCTGTGCGCGCCTACGTGTACCTGTGCGCGCCCCCCGTGACAAAGATACTGAATGACTGACAGGAGGGTTCACTAACTCCGTTCATTCCGCTATAGAGCCAATGCCCCCAGGTGCCGAGAAAAATGCGCAGAGTGAGACCTCTTCTCTCATCCAGCGTGTTTGGTAGCGAGAGAGGAGGAAAACAAACGCACGTCAATTATCGAGGCTGGCAAAGTTATCGACCTCGTTTTTATTTATCGAGCGATAAGGCGATTTATTGATTATTGCCTAGTTGCATTTTAAAATACTGTATTAGTAAAGTCTAATTTCAGACGTATTATTTGTACTTTGAGCGGAGTGTTTGTTGCTTTGACTTCAGTAGAGTGTGTGTGCATGTGTGCATGAGTGTGTGTGTGTGTGTGTGTGTGTGTGTGTGTGTGAGTGTGTGTGTGTGGTTGTGTCTCAGTCTGCCGCTGCTGCTGCTGCTGTAAGCGTTTCTGTGTGATGGATGTCGTCTCTGAGCGTGGTGAACGGCTGTTTGCTAATGAACAGATCTGTTTAGCCAGCCGCTCCGCTGACCTCTGACCCTGCCCAGTCTCCACGCTGAGGGGAAAATAAAGCACAGCAGAGCTCGGTAAATATATGAACGGGGACGGAAAACGCAATTATTGGGAGGGAGTGTGAGCTCAACATGTAGAGAAATGATTAAAAATGATGCAAAAACTCATATTTCAGATGTTCAAGTGTGTTAGAGCAGGAGGGACTGATGATCATTCACCAAACAGGCAGTGTGTGTGTACATGTGTGTGTGTGTCCTCCACTTAATTACTGTGTAAGATTAAAAAAATACAGCCAATCAGCTCTCTCTCCCATCAAATATAGCCATCCCTTACATCTATATTTTTTTGCTCACACGGCATTTATTTGCTGTGTTTGCTAATATGAAACATAGAGAAGTTTAATTTTGTTGTTTTTGCTGAGCAGAGGAAGAACTCCTTCTCTTCACATATTTCTCTTGAATATTTTGGTGGCAGCGTCAGAAAAATACATTTTGAATATATTCACCATCCAAACTTCTTGAAAGATTAAGTAGGAAGGGCA